CTTCCCCTAAACATCATCTTTTAGATCTTGAATCTTGGTGGGTCTATGTCTTTATTAGTTTGTGTGTGTGTGATTAAATTGTATATATGTGTATATTTTTTTCAGTTCCTGTATAATGTGTGTCTTATATTAAATTTAAAATTTGTTTTTCTTTTTAACATAGTAAAATTCTCTATTTCCTCTGTCGTCATGTTTATCTATATCAATGTATTTTTTAGTGTTTGTGTAGTATAATATGGTCATTGTGACTGTCTTCTCATTTGACAAAAACTTCTTCCCTAATTTTTTGAACATCATCTGTAATATGGCTCAATCGGTATAAATATATGTCAGGCTATATTTTGGTTCCATATAAATTATAAAGGTTCACATTACGATTCCTGTAAAGACGCATATTTTTTAATGAAAAATCTCTCAGACATTCAGGCTCAATCGGGTAAAAAGCATGTCAGTATTATATGTAATACTGTTTTTTTATCAAAATAAATTCAGGCCGTAAATGTCATTTACTGTTTAATTATTTTTGTATCTATAAAAATAACATATAAACATAAAAAAAATGTCTTAAAATATATAACATACACCACATAAATATATATGCCACACACCACATAAATACATATATAATATGCCACATACATATACATATATAATAAAAATATCACACACGTTTTTGTGTGTATGTATAACAATTGAGGGAAAGTGCAAAATAACGATGACCCACTCAACCAAATTCAAATTATATTTGTTTTTGGAAATAAAAAAAAGAACTTTAATTAAATAAAAGTTATGAGAGAAATGAGTTATGGGCAACATTAGTTGTGTTGAATATTTGTTTTACAAATTTAGCTATATTTTATTTAAATTAATTTTTGAAAAATTAAGGTTCACAATAGTTTTTGTTTTAATAAAACTTAATTTAAAATTATTTACTTTTTCATGTTAGTAACAAACCAAAAAACAATGAAGTTTGTTTTTCAAAGATTGAATAAAAAATTATTTCTCATTATCATAGTTTTGGGATGGGCAGAGACCCTTGTGGATGGTCTGGATAAATTCAAAATATTTTGTTTGAAATTTGTTTTTGTAAAGTAAAAAAGTACAATAGATATTAAGTCTCCTTTTTAAAATCTGCAATAATGAATGAAAAATAAAAAGTTAAAATAATTACACAAAAAAAAAAAAAAAAAAAAAAAAAAAAAAAAAAAAAAAAAAAAAAAAAAAAAAAAAAATTTAAAAATACATAACGTTTCGAAATTATCGCTGTTTGTTTTTACTTTTTAATTCTGAGAATTTCAAAACACTTATATGGCTAAAAATGGATTCTAATGCAATTATTATGTATTTTTAATTTTTAAATATCTTCCCAAATACAAATCATATGATGATAATTTTTGCAAAATGGTGGTTTGGATGATACTGAGTCTGTATATATATTTATTTTGTCATTAATTATTGTATGTTACAATTTGGAGCATGTGTAATGGAATTTGGTAATAGCTTGAGAAAAAAAATATATATCTGATGATGTCTTGCTCTTAGTAGGACAAAAAATAAGCAGACTCTGAAATTAGAGATTGAATCTATTGACTGTCAAGAATTACTCAAGACCTTCCAAAATTTACACAAAAAATATTGTGCTTTGGGAACTTTAGGAGTAAACATAATTTTGGTCATAATTATGTAATATTTATGAAGATAATATAAAGATATCTTTCCTTATAAATTCTACACTATCCAATTATTAACTTTAACAACAGACTATTTTAAATTACGAAATTGTACTTGGATTTAATGAAAATTACTTACAATATATAATACATTCCTTCTTGGCGTCAATTTTGACAGCACGATTTTTTTTATTATTTTGTAAATATAAAATTATTCTTGTGAATAAGCAATCTAATAAATAGTTTACACTACTTAAACTCTTGTCATCATCATTATTGCTTTATTCACTTTCAACATCTGTCTCTATTTCTGAGATTAGGTGTTGTAACTATTTACACTATTTACAATGTTTGGACTGTTGTCCTCATCTTTATTGCTTTATTCACCTTCAACATCTGTCTATTTCTCAGGTGAGGTAATGTAACTATTTACATTGTTCGGACTGTTGTCCTCATCTTTATTGCCATATTCACCTTCAACATCTGTTTCTATTTCTCAGATGAGGTATTGTAACTATTTACATTGTTCGGACTGTTGTCCTCATCTTTATTGCTTTATTCACTTTCAACATCTGTCTATTTCTCAGGTGAGGTATTGTAACTATTTACATTGTTCGAACTTTTGTCTACATCTTTACTGTCATATTCACAATGTTGTATTTTCCAGCCTTCTTTATGTGATATACGTTGGAATTTTGGACCAAACTTTTTATTTCGTCACCAGGTGTAGATTGTTCTAGTTCCACGTGGCATGTCTTTTCTGAAGATCACAGTTTCAGTTATTTCCCTTTAATAACTCAAGTTTTTGTTCACCTCTGATGCGGCCAGGTATTAAACTCATAAATCTTTTCGTCAAGCCACTGGATTACTTCAACGAACATTTATCCACTGGGTCATGTTGTGCTTGGGTTCAGTTCGAAATTCCAACATATATCACTTGAAGAAGGTTGGAAAATGCCAAAATGCCGTGAATAGGATAATAAAGATGAGGACAACCGTCCAAACAATGTAAATAGTGTAAAAAGTTACAATACCTCATCTGAGAAATAGAGACAGATGTTGAAGGTGAATATGACAATAAAGATGAGGACAACAGTCCAAACAATGTAAATAGTGTAAATAGTTAGAATACCTCATCTGAAAAATAGAGACAGATTTTGAAGGTGAATATGGCAATAAAGATGAGGACAACAGCCCGAACAATGTAAATAGTGTAAATAGTTACAATACCTCATCTGAGAAATAGAGACTGATGTTGAAGGTGAATATGGCAATAAAGATGAGGATAACAGTCCAAACAATGTAAATAGTTACAATACTTCATCTCAGAAATAGAGAGAGACTAATAAATAGTGTTTAATATCTTTGTTATCAATTCTCAAGAATAAAGAAAATGTATAAATCCATTTTCATATGTTTTGGTTTTATTAAAATTCTGATCAAACAAAACAAAAGACATTGCTGAAGTAGTCAAAAGTGTATACAGTAATAGCGGTGTCAAGAAAATAACCATCCTTTTAACACACGGTTTTATTGTGAGCACAATGTTTAAACATTGCCAAATTTTTTTTCTGACAATGAAATGGAATTAGCCACCATTTTGGCTTTGGGAAGAAAAAAGAAAACAAACAAACAACAGAAATTTGAGAAATCCAGTTACACTTTTATTATTAAAAGAAAAATACGGAAAAAAAAAACAAAAAAAAAAAAAACAAAAAAAAACAGCATTTGGACATTGAATGCCCAAGTATATTTTTATTGACACCCACTACTGCTAAAACCTCAGGGGCTTCTAAGGTTATGCTTATTGCCCTATGCAAATACCACCCAACCCAACCCGGCCCAGCCCTACCCAATCTCTAGACCTAAGTCCCCAACCCACTGAAGACACACACACATACATACACACACAACCAAACACATGCATGCATACAGCGGCATCAAACACAAATCACCATGGTTTCAAATACAGAAAGAAGTTTGCTGCTAGTAGAGAGTAGTCAGCAGAGATTTGTTTGCTTTTGAGGGACCAATGAAAAGACTGCATTCCAGAGCCAAGTTTTGTGGGGCAACAGATGAGAGCAATGAATGTTGGATTTTGTTGGAGATGTGTGTGTGTGTGTGTTTTTAATTTCTCTAAAAACACTCATGTCTGATGATCATCATTCTCAAACTTTGTCTTTCAAAGTTAAATAAAAATCTGAATGGTTTTATATTTAAGATTTGGAGAAAAGTCAGTCATCTTATTTTCTTAAAGAAGGAAGAAATGAATAAGAGATCTCCCCCCCCACCCCACAAAAAAAAAAAGTCAATTTTTGACTTTGTACAGAAAAAAAGTAGTTTGTATTTTAATGCTGAGTTTCAGTTTCTATGTTTCAAGGCTTAAATTAGAGGCAAGAATTCTTATTTTGTAAGCACCACCAGTTTCCTTGGTCAGGAGGGGGGGGAGTTTGTTACAAGAGAAGTAATAAAAGAAGCCTGTTTCTTATATTGTCATCAAGACAGAATGGTCAAATATGAAATATTAGTGGCTGTAGCAGTAAATAAATCTGTCACCGATTTTTGACTCTGGCATAAGAAATTTGCAGTCTTATTTGAAGAAACAATATTAACAGTTTGTATTTTAATCCGTATTCTGACTACCAATTTGCGTTCTTGTATTTCCAATAACGAAAGATTTATTTTTAACAACAACATGTTGTTTGAATAATTATAATCTCTGTTCTTAGGAAGAAGGTGAAATGATTTAATTGCAACATCAACTTAAGATTTATTTATCATTTCAGCCTGTGTCTTGGGAAATTAACAAGGAACACAACCCTTTTGACTGCTAATTTCAGCCTCTTTCATTAGAAAGGGAAACAATTTTGCATCAGTAGCAACCTTGGTTTGATTACCAATTTCAGCCTTTATGTCTCTGGGCAAGAAAAACTGTCACAAAAACATTCCATGCTTTTCAATCAGTTCAAAGGTCAATAGAAATATTTGTTATAGTACTAATAGCAATCAAAAGTTACCTTCCTAATTTCAGCCAGGGTTCCGAGAAGAAGAAAAAGCTACAATGGTAATGGCGGTAATCTTAGTAGCAGAATGTAAGTAGAGCAGACTATTTTGTTAGTCATTTCAACCCTTGGACTTTTGGAAATGAAGCAATAACCAATGATAGAATAAAGAGTCATTAATATTTTTATTATTCATTTTAGCTTTTCAGTTTCAATGAAGAATGGATTGAAATTAAAAACAAAAAAAAAAAAAATAGTAGCAGTCACAGAGGTATTGGTGATTGATATTTGCCGTGTATATTTCTAGAGTCTCTAGTTTATACTTATATCAGACCATATTGCGGACCATCATGTTAAGGATGCCTTTGTGCATGTAATAAGTCATTTCTAGCTCAGTGTCAAAACGCACAAACACTTCAAATGTCTTTCCTGTGCTCAGCTGAAAAAAAAAGAAAGAAAAATAAAATCAATAAATCATAATTTTATATTAAAAATTTTGATGTACATTTTAATTAGAAGTTGTGGGATTGAGGGAATATCTGTGGTATAGTAAATACAAACTGCCTACAAAAAAATAACTTGGTTGCATAAAAATGTCACATTGTCTATTTGTTTTGATTGTTGGTTTAAAAGGTATATCAACCTTTGTTGGATCGTTTTATTCAAATAAGATTAGATTGGGTATCATGGTTTGTGCATTAATTTTAATTTGTGAATAATATTTTAGTATCATTCAGTTGAAAAGGAAGCTTGTTTAAAGTTAATGATTTTGGTATGAAGTTTAGTTGGAGATTTTGTTTTATTCATTTACTTATCATTTACTTAAATTTTTTTTAATATATCTCGATTTCCATCTATATTTCTGAGATAAGGTATTATGTACATTATTCACATTATTCGGACTATTGTCCTCATCTTTGTCGCCATATTTATCACAACGTTCAATACCCGGTTAAGGCAGTGGACAACTTGGAGAGGGAAATTAACAGGAGATAACTGATAACTGACATTCATCAAACATGGCACGTGGAACTAGAACAGTCTACCCCGGTGAGCGAAATAAAGGGTTCAGTTCGACATTCCAATCACCTGAAGAAGGCTGGAGCGTACAACGGCCAAAACGTTGTGATAAATATGGCGACAAAGATGAGGACAATAGTTCGAATAATGTAAATAATGATCTCGATTTCCTTATGAAATTTAATTATTTTGTTTGGATGGATGGATGGATGCTGGATTTAACGGCATGTCAACTCCTATTTATTTTGTTTGGATCAATCCTGTTGAAGAGTTCATTCATATTGTTTGCCTGATACTACTTTTCACAGACCAGACTTAAATCGATACATTTTATAAGTATATGCTCCACTGTATATCATTCATTACAAGTATAGCACATAGGTAGATCTTCCTTGTTTTTAGTATGTAACTGTGGGTAATAAAAGTGTGGCCAACTTGAAGTCTAGCAAGTACTGAATCCTCTTTTCTTATTTTTCTATAACCAGTTTACCATTCTTTGATGTCTGCTTGGATTCTGTAAAGTTTATTCTTTATGTGCTTGTTCCTTTCTTTTTGCCATTTGCTCATGATGAATTTTCTGATAATTGGTTCGAGATCGGTATGCAATATTTTTATATTTGATGGGTTCTTGCTTCTTTGTTGTCATTCTCATTACCGTGAATATTAGTATGGCCAGGTATCCAACATGATATTATGACTTGGTTTTTCTTGCATGTATTGAATTTTATTTAGTACTTTTGTGGTGATTGGATTTGTAGTTATTTTATTTTTTATTGCTATAAGTGCTGAGAAAGAATCAGAGAAAATAATAAATATTGTATTTTCGGTGTCTCTTATCAGGTTAAAGGCTAAATTGATGGCTGTGATTTCTGGTGTGTATGTTGAGACATTATTAGCTAATCGTTTTGTGGTTTTTTTTTATTGCCACATATGGCAGTGCATCCAAATTTATTCTCTTTTTTTTGATCCATCTGTGTAAATTTGGATGTGATCCAGATGTCTGTTTATTATATCAAGCATTTCATCTTGATATATAATTGGGTTGGTTGTGTTTTTGGGGATGTCTTGATACGTCTAATATTATTTTTAGTTGTCCAATTAGCCGTGGCAGTATTTCAATTTTAGTTATGTTATTTATCTTAATTTTGAAACAAATTTCTTCCGTTAAGGATAATTTTTTGGGAGTAACCTATTTTAACTAAAATTTTTTTTTTTTTAAAACTAGTATTTAACATGTAAATATCTTGATTAATTTATTTTTAAGCAATTTTAATTAAATGTTATTTCTCTTAGTTTTTAAACAAAATTTTAGATTTTCAATCAATATCCCAAATTATCCATACTGTAGTTTAGGAGTTTTTTTTTAAATAATGTAAATCATTTTAATCACTCTATTGTAAACATTTTGTTAAGTGTAGTTAAGAAAAAATAAGAATAAAAAGAAAAGTTATAAAAAGAAAGACCAAACAAATAAGATATAATAAAGAAGTTAAAAGGGTAGGAAGAGAAAGAAAACTAAGTTGTAAGATGAGCCAATAAATCGTTTTTATTTTATTAATGTATATATATATATTTATTGGTTTGTTTTCTTCTCTTCTTCCAAAAACACTGCATGTAGGAAGATCAATACAACCAAGTCTACAATTGAATAGCCCAAGTGAAGTCTTGATTAGTTGCCGTTTTCTGGGGGAACTTATATAAAGCACGTCCTGAAGCTAGTAGCAAATTTTATTCTGGGTGTGGGCCGAATACTGATCATATTCAGTTGGGTCGCCCATTGAAGAAGTCTGTTGTTTATTTAGACCCGAAACTTCTAGTGACATGGGAGCAACAACACTGACGATGCACCTAGATTCGGCACTTAAAGGTGTATTTTTAATAACAATGAGGTAATGGAATTGTGTATAATGTTATTTTCTGAGGTAATGGAATTGTGTATAATGTTATTTGAGTTTCTGAAAGGATTTTTTTCATTCATAATCTAAATGGTTTTATAACCATTTCTCTTTGATCAAAGAGCTTTGTATATTGAAGGTATAAAGTATACTAATGTGTCAGCTTTGAGGGGGGGGTATAAACTAAGTTTAAAATAGTACTGGAGACCCAGTTTTTGCCTTCTCAGCTCCATGGGCATTTCATATGACTGTATATAGACTTTACAATGACCTAACCCAATCATAACCATTTTTTAATATAGATTCTGAAGTGGGGAAAGTAAAACTAATTGTGAAAAATGGATAATATTTTTTTGATTCTGCACCTGAAAATTGTTAAAAATTAGCCAGAACATTCCATGCACTATTAAAAAGAATTTGTAGATCTGTCACGTTATCAAGTGGCTGATAAAGGCTGAGATTACTAACAGCTGAATCAGTAGTTGCTGTGTCTATGTTGATCACTAAGAAAAAGGCAGACATTTTGAAATCTTTGGAATGTGTAAAAGAATTTGTATTCATTACATGAAAATATAAACACGGGTTGATATTAGAATTGGAGTACATAATTATGAAAAACAAAAAACATTAAAATTGTATTATACATGATAATAATCACATGTCATGGTTAACAAAAAATTCACACATTTCTCTTGAGTAAACAAAGATAAAAAATCTGTACCCAATTCCTCCTGCTAGAGAGCAAGAGAAAAATAGAAGTGGATTTCAAATATTTCCAGTTTTGAATTTCCAAGAGAAACAAATGCAAGACAACAATGATGGACACTTACCACCACATTTGTTTTCATGTGTTTACACATTTTCTTGGGGACTTCAAATGAGAAATTCTCTCTTCCAGTGATGCCATGGAATTCAGCAGATTCTCCTGGAAGATATTGCAAGGGAACAATGCCCATACCCACAAGGTTTGATCGGTGGATGCGTTCATAACTCTCAGCTAATATGGCACGAACACCCTACACAATAAAAACCAAAAATGACATTAGAAACAGTTTTTGTTTAGCTATGGAATGACAGAGGGGATTTCTTCGCGTTTTGCTAGGGAGTGACAAACGGTAGCGTTCTTGACATTTTAATAAATAAAGCTTTCAATAAACTTCTGACATTCATAGCGCCAAGGATATTGCATATATAGATTTGAAACTTGGTGATAATAATTAATCTTTACTGTAGATTACATTGATTTATTTAATGGCATCTCAACTCCTTTATGGGTCATTTAATGCCGAAATTTTAATTTTCTTTTCAGGGGCTTTGAAGTAATAAAAATATGATATATGTTATTCTGCTTTCACAATTGAATACATGGTAGATGATACTTAGCTTTTGTGCATATACATGTTTGTGTAGACATAATTATGAGAGGTGGTGATATGTGTTTTATGCTGTAGTTTTGTTGAAGTTATATTTAGAAATACAGTTTGATTTTAAAAATTGTAAGGATAGTAATTCTATTATAAATAGGTATTGTTGGTAATATTTTTTTTATATAAAAGTGTATTACTGGTGTTTTTATACTTTTTAGTGTTTTGAATGTGGAGCTATTTGCTCATAGCTGAAACCTTAACAGGTGCTACCACCCCCAGTCAGGGTGAATCCAGGAACAGTAGCAATTAAGAGGGGAATCCATGCTGCTCAAGACTTCCAATTTCCCAATCAGGAGCCTTGCTGCCAGATGTAGTTAATCATCATACCCAGGACGATTGTAGATTACAAAAATATAAACAGCTTAGGTGTGTCTTATTTTTATAAGGACCTGAAAATGGCCAAAATCCAAAAAGACACTGTCTGTTTGAGTGCTTCTCATTTACAAAGTGCTTCCAAAACAGCATCCAAATTAGTTTTCCTGTCATTTATGACCGAATGGTATTACTGTTTGAAAATTGCTCATTTATTTAACATCCTTAAAATTGCCTATATGCAGGACATCGGTTAGGCAGTTTTAAAAATAAATGTGTCTGAAGATTATGTGACAAAAATTTTTGTGAACAAACTTCTAAGGTTAAACATATTTTTCTAGAATAACTTGTCATGCTGAAATCCTGGTTTTGCTGAATTTTGTCACCTTATAAATTTGATATTTAAGAAAATATGAAGCTGAAAGTTGGTATCACTCTACACTTCTATGCAAATAAACTTTTGATTTCATTTTGCCTTTGTTCCAAATAGTTTAGCGGCTATGGACCCTAAAAAAATGATTTTTCAGGTGGTCTACAAAATTTTTACCTGAACAAAGAAATTAAACAAAGATCATTAAAATAAAAATTTAATGAAGATTATTTTCATTTTGAATACATCAAATCAAAATAGAGAAAGTTTCTGTAGCAATATTAGTTGTCAGCTAATACCTTATTAAGAAAACATCTGGGGGATGTTACAGAAATTTTTTTTTGACAAGGTCAGCTGAGTGGTGTGAACCTCCCAAGAATCAGGTTCACCAGCCCAGACAAAGAAGCTTCGGTTTTTGATGAATGACTTTTTTTAGATGAAAATTGGCAGGACAAAGAAAGCTTTCCCTCTATAAGACAGTGGATCCTAGCAGTCAAAATGAGAGGATTGCTTGCTCACCCTGCAAATGGAAGGCACACGCCAGTTAGACCATTTGCCAAACTTTTCCTAGTTTGTTTACGAGAAGGTGGCAACTGAATAAAATTTGCTGCTATAATATTATATTTTGATATTTTTTCTTGGGTAACGATCTGGCCAAAGAATTATTTTCTTTGTATTAAGCTGCTAGGGTTCAACTAGAAGAAGCTGCACCCTGTAAACAAACCTGGTGTCTGGTCTGAGCTGTAATTCTACACTTTAGAGCTATTGAAAGCATAAATAAGGCTTTTGCAAAATGCAAGAAATGCAGTGAAATTTCAAGATGCTCTGATTTTAAAATTATTAACAAGATGCAGATTTAATATTTGGGATTTATCAATAAATTTGATCAAGGAACATTTGTGAATTTTCCCCTGAGAGGCTTACCTGTGGTCTTTGGTTGATTTGAGATGGAATAACCAATATATATTCCTTCTCTTACAAAGAGATGTTTTATACATCTCGCTGTAAGGGAAGCACTTTACATAAAACATCTGGCACCTAGAATTAATCTGATGTTATTTTACAATAGAAATAATGTGCTAAAAGATTTTTAAAATAAAAGGATGCCAACTCAAATTCCAACCAAATTCCTTTCAATAAAAAAGAATAAACACTACTACTATATAGGCATTACACAACATCATCTTAAAAAGATGACCATGAAAAGAAATTAACAACAATTAACAAGAAACCCTTTAAAAAATGGCTAAAGAAGGACCCAAAAGTACTTAAGACACTATGGACAATTTTTACATTCTCTCACCCCGCAAAATGAAAAAAGTTAATACTAGAAAAACTCAAAAGATTCATCAAATTTTCCTTGTCAGACAAATTCAATGAAACATGTTTGAAAAAAAGGTTACTGCCCAAATATACATTATGTATGTGTAACAATTTCAGATGGAGTATATCTGTAAAAGGACAATAGGAATAAAGACAAAAAAAAAACTTATCTTAGTTGTGTTTTTTTTCTCTGAGGGACTTTATCATGTTTCTAAATTTAATTTTGAAAAAAAAATAAATAAATAACATTTTTGCTCTTGCATATAAATACTTGTTACAAAATGAAATCCTGGTATTTGCATTGATAAAGTTCATCAGAGGACAAAATGTGTCAGCTAAGATGTTTCCTTTTTGTCTTTATATATATATATATATATATATATATATATATATAAAAAAACACTAGAAGGTTCAAGAATTAACAACAGCAGCATATATCTAGAAAACTGGAAGTCAAAATGGCTACAACTGAAAGAAAAGAGGAAAAAGGAAAGAGTGTAAAGTGGGGGGGAAAAAATGAAAAGGACAAATAACCATGACATTCTATACTTATGAGCCAACACACGTGCGTGCACACACATGAAAAAAAAAAACAAAAAAACTAGCATCAATGAAAAGTGCATATAAAACAGAAATTGAGAAGTATAAGCAGTCAATTACTGATATCCCCTGATGAGTGGATAGAGTGATTCCCGGAGAGTCATCTATGAAACTCTGGGGTTTGGTTGCTGAAGGTAACATCAATCAGCTGACAAACCTTTTACTTGTATTATATATATGTGTGTGTGTGTGTGTGTGTGTGTGTGTGTGTGAATATAATTTATCATGCATAGAGTGCTGGTGTTAATAAAACAGTGCTTGATGTATTATAACAAAGTTATTAAGGATATATTAATAAATGTACATATTATCTGAGTCATGTTATTGGTGAGGGATAATATGTATATTCATTTATTTTGTGTGTGTGTGTGTGTGTGTGTGTGTGTGTACATAAGGAAATTCATTTGAATTTACTTTGACAACAAAAGCACTTTTAGCACAAGGTCACATTGAATGACTGAACTGCTTAGTAATACTGTTTGAGACAAGAATTGTTTTGTTAGAGTCGATGACCTAAACATGCCAAGACAATTTAGATTTCAATGCTGTATGTGTATATTTATAGACTCCCATCTTGTAAAAATTATAGTTAGACAAAAGAGGCCATCCTACATAAAATAGGGAGGTACTTTTCAATCACCAATTAAAATTGTGTGTGTGTATGTATATATATATATATATATATATATATATATATATATATTTTGAAAAACAAACTATATGTTTAAAGCATCAGATGTACTTTGATTTTAGTTTTTGGTACTTCTAAAAAAACTGGTCCAGTTGTAAAAAAAATGCTGAAAATTATTTTGGAAAATAACTTAGCATTCTTTAGGCTGTGACACTTGTTAGAATTGAAAAATATATAATTATCTTTTTCATCATTTTAGAAAAGGCTTCAGTTTATATCAATATAGTGTAAAATCAATCCATAACTTTTAGTGTTATAAGATGAGCTGTTATTTACAATTATCAAGTTTGAAAGTATGCTCACATCATTAATACCTGCATATTTTTTAAACTGGACTGCATTCTAAAAATAATCTATATATATATATATATATATATATATTTCAGTCCTAACTCGCCTTTTAAATTGATAAAAAAAGAAATGACAAGTGTTGCAGCCTAAGGAAGGTTTAAAGAATGCTAATGTAGAAAACTTATTTCCAACTAGCAGTAGAGCCCGGCGTTGCCCGGGGATGTAACAGTAAGAGATAGATCAAGTATTGACCATCATAAAGACTGAAAAATAAAATTGACAAAGATTATTGTTTAAGGTTGACGGACACGCATGTCTTAATTAGTTTTTTTTTTTTTTTTTTTACAAATTGGTTAAACCCAAACTCAAACAAAAACATTGTTTTTCAATCGCTATGAGTCTACCGATTGAATAGAATTTTATTATAAACAATTGTCTTGCAAATGGAAGTTGTTCCCCCTTTCATCAATGCCTCTTAATCGTGTTTTCAAATTGATTTCATGCAAAAACAATTGTGTTTTCCCAATTTTTGGTGCTGTCAGAACCACCGCAAGGTAATTTTATGTAGTCTTGTGAAGTTTTGTTGAAATCGGTTGAAAAATGTAGGAAATCCGATCCAATATATAAACGTACAGACACACACACACAACCTGGGTTTTATAATAAGTATGATAAAATTTTTCGATAATTTTAACAAGTGGACCACTCTATTTAAGTAGTTCCTACTTTTCTTAAAGTTAAAACAAATCTGACAAAAGGCCACGTCTATAATGAAGACAGTGATGTAAAAGTGGAATTTGAAACAAAGGGCTTTTCTGCAAGTCGTTCAAAAAAAAAAAAAAAAAAAAAAAAAAAAAACTGAGTAGGGGTAGGAGTGAGCATATCTTACCAACATCCAGGGTCCTTTTGCAGCCCAATCTCTTGAAGAGCCACACCCGTAATCCTTGCCAGCCAATATGATGAGAGGATGATTCTGTTCTTTGTATTTCATAGCAGCATCAAACACATCCATCTGGTAAAAAACACAAATTGTATTAACAAGGTTTTTTACAAAGTTCTGTTTGTTAACAACGAAAGCAGTTTATTAAGCCTGTTTCATGGAAGAAGGGTTGAAGAGGATTATGACTGAAAATCCACCAAATTTATTTTTTGCCTGTCAAAATGCTTGCAAATTTAAAAAATATCAAATTCTATTTGTTTTATGCATCTTCAAGTAAAGATAAAATAAGATTTATGTTTTATTGCAGAAAATTACAGAAGGGGGCAAAAACAGAAAAGGGGCAAAAATAGAAGAGGGCGAAAAACTAAATTGCATTCCCTCACCTTTTTTTCTGGAAACCACATTTTAGATAGATTTGTCATTACAATTTCAGTCAAAGAAGTCCTTACCGCAAGCCTGGGCTCAATTAAAACTATCGTAAGTACCAATGAGAGATGTACATTATTTTTTTAATAAGGGTAATTGACTTGTTGTAAAGCCCCTTCATGCCTAAAACGGTAACAGAATGCATAATTAAAAGGTAGTTAAAAAAAACCCAAAAAAGACAAGTGGGGGATTGTATAGAGGTTCAATTCTTACAGAGCGGTACATTTTATTTAATAAGAATTTTCATGATTTAGGCCAGTAGATGTTGATTTTATTGTTTCTAAATAATCAATAATGTCTACTTAAACACATTTACCTACTAAAATAATGTTTATAGTAATAAAAAATAAAACTTTTTAAATTACTTGTAACTATACGACTGAAATTTCTCCCCAATTCCTCTCCTGGTTAAAATTATTCTAAGATTTGAAATTTCTACTTTGTAAGCCAAGTAACTTGTGATTAAGAACCCATACTCCCTAATATATGCAATAGTCATGATCATTATCAATAAGGTCAGATTACTGATAGTTCATTCAATACAAGGCCCAAGAGCCACTCAAGGTAGAGGGTTACAGTGAGATTGTTGTGAGGAAGAAGCAATTAAGATGCATATTATAAGGATGTATAAGATAGATATTGGTTGTGAGATTTAAACAAAAATTGGGTGGTAGGAAAAATAAATTTCCACTCAAATTTGCTAACATGGAAACCGGAACAACACTTTGCTCGTGACTGTTTCCTGCACACTGTAAACAACAGTATTATTGTTCTTTCTCTGGAACATGGGTATAACCGTTACCCGTCTCAAAGAACAAACTGCCATGAAACAATAAGTCAGCTGTTTTTATCCTTCCTTGGTCTCGGACAAGAAACTGAGATCTCTTGCTTATGTTAGCCTCGTTCTCGCTGATAACGCATGAGCTGTGTCACTTCAATATTGATTTGCTGAAGTTTGCCTCGCAGCTCTATGATGTCTACAAGCACATATACAGACAATTCGCCTTCTCTTGCTTTAACAAAGTATGTCTCCTCCACATCAGTTGACCTTGGACTTGAAGAAACTAAGATTGTAGTTGTTAGGGAAGCATCCTTTTGGGAGTCTGTTCCACAAAACAACACTTCTGATGAAAAAGCTGTCTGAGTGGAACTTGCTTCTTATATAAGGAACACAAAGCAAATGGGGATAGTTTGCCGCCATGATCATGGCAAGGTGGTTCCTGGCTGTGTAGGTCTTAACTGATGGGACTAAAGAATGTGACTCGTCTGAATATCTGTCATAGTAAGTAGTTAATCCAGACTGAATAAATATTACACCAGATAATATCACTACAGTCAGGAATTCTGAAAGGACAGAATATTTATTTTGTAAAATTACAAAATGGTGGCACAAGACTGAAAGGGAGAAAAAGGTGGGGGCTGGTCTTCACTAGCTATATCCTAATCCTAGTTAAGTCCACTCACAACCCATTCATTTATTACAATTTATTCATTCACCAAAAGAATTTATTCATCACCACTCAATCCTGCATACACCAAAATACCGCATATTCACAGGAGACTTACAAAAAAAAACGCCATGAGATAAAAATCTGTCTTTTTTTTTTTTTAACAAAAATATATATAAAAATTTTGTGATAAATGAAATGATGGGGAATAGATGAAACCCAAAAACAAACTTAAAATTGTAACTGAAAATAAAATCAAAACAAATATTAGTAGGACCTGTCAACTCCTCAAAATAATAAGAAAGGCTGCTGTATTCTGCCGCTAGAAATGGAAAGGATAAAAATAAATGATGGAATGGGAAAAATCAAAGGCTGACCCAACCGAGATGAAAAAATAAGTGGGGGAAAAAACAAACTGGGGAGATCGGGAATCTTGACATGGGTCATAACAAAAGAGAACATACTACCTCTCAATGTTCTGAGTCAATCATCAGCTAAGTGAAAACTCAGGATTGCTGAGATAATCCACCATTGGTGCCCAAGACCAAAAAGAGCGCAACTCTGATGCCGACAAGATGAGCCGGTCACACAGAGGATCTTTCATGATCCCCTCCACTAATTCACAATACAATAGTCTCTGAGCTTGAGAAAGGTCACTGGAACGAGGAATGACCTTCAAGGCTAACTGACACTCACTGAGGAATCTTGACAACCTTCCACAGCCACAATGGCGCTAACCCCAAGAAATGGGTGGAGTGATGGTAAGGCTAGGGAAGGCGTCCATAACACTCTGCGCCAAAATCGAGCCCTACGTCAAAACATGGTATAGGAAAGCCAACCTTGAGGCACGGCAATGACTTGCCAGGTGTGGCAATCCTAGCCACACCTGCCCCCATCATGAGATGGATGCTGGTAACAGGCTTCTTTACAGACCCAATGTTTGTGAACCACACCACAAGAGAGTTATCAACAAACATTTGATCATCTCCATACAGGTCCTGCAAAGAGGAAGTACAGCCAAGTGGTAAAGGATGAGGGGTAAGATGTAAGTGGCACACACCGCAGCCCTACCCTTTAAGAATAACCTGCTTCAGAACCAAGTCTGGACGGATGCTAAATTCTGTTGGTTTGGTTTGCTTTGGCTTTATGGCATATCAACCTCAATGGGTTATTTAATGCTGACAAAATTTTTATTGTTGGTAATATTTTTTTTTTTTAAATCTATTTCTGGTAAAAATTTTCCTTCAAGAATTCTATTTCTGGTAATAATTTTCTTTCAATTATGTATCACTGGTAATACATATTTTTCTTTTTTTTCAAAAATATTGCTGGTAATATTTGTTTTTCAAAAATGCATTTTTTTTTTTTAGATTTTTCTGTAGATCTCAATTTCTTTAGTAAAATTTATGATGTTACTTGGATTAGTATTTTCAAATAGATCCTTTAGGTTATTCAATTTATAGTGTTTACTATGGATTCATTGGAGATTATGGCAATTTAGTAGGATGTGTTTGACTGTATAAGATTCTTGACATGGGACACGTTGGAGGTACCTTATTTTTTAGGAGATGTTGGTGGCTTATGTATGTGTGACCAATACGGAGTTTGGCTAGAACCACCTCCTCTCTCCTTATCTTTCTGGAACTTGCCAGTCTTTCACCGATGATAGGTTGAATATTGAAAAGTTTGTTGTTGCAGTTGTTCCATAATTGCTGCCATTTGTCTTTAAATGCCAAACAGTGATTATTGCAGCAACAAAAAAAAAAAGAAAAATATCAAAGCTTTCCTTTGAGAGTGAAGTGGGCAGCAAATGAACATTTGGAAACTTAATATTTTAGAAATTCAAAAATTTTATTCCTAACATACTCAGCCAATCAAATAAAAGAAAAATAGCAATTAATGACTTACATGCTTTTTTTTATAGAATTCTTTGCAGAGAATTTGTATGAAAAGTAACAAAGAAGGTCTTAACACTTACTACTGTCTCTGTTGGGATGTGTATTGTTTTTGGACCAGGTTTCTTCATGAATTTGTTAACAAGCCGAATATTTGCAAATGATCCTCTTGCCATGACAGCATCATTACCACGACGAGATCCATAGGAGTTGAATTCTCTGGGTTTTAAGCTGAAAATTTAATACAAGAAAAAAAAATATATATACATGGGTAATTTATACACTACAGTTCAAAAGGTTTGAGGCCACCTCTGGTAATTTTTTAACTTGGCCAAAAAAGTAATTTTGTACTTTAAATAAAAGAAAATTATTATATATGGTTAAAAAAAAGTGAGACATAAATTTTTATTAGAAATTTTATTATGCTAAAAATAAAAAAAGCATTTTAAGATTAAATTTTGCTCTCGTCAAAAATCCTCCTTTAGCCTTGATTACTGCAGCACAATTTTTTGGCATTTGTTGCAAAAGTTTCTCAAAGTTTGATAATTGATTCCATTCTTTTTTCAATGACTCTCAGAGACCTTTTTCATTTTTCCCTACTCTTCTGTCAAGTTCATTCCCTTATATGAATTCTGGGGGGGTCACTTCAACCTTTTGAACTGTAGTGTATATTGCCCCCCCAAAGCACTGATTCTATAAATTGAGACAAATTAAGCAAAATCAACTCTTTTTCTGCCATAATATAATTAAATCTAAGTTAAAATATTCCTGGAATTAGAGGCAAAATGGATCAAATGTTACTGATATGGTGAATTTTAAAAAGATTTACCATTGAAGCTACGTAGTTCGATTTCTAATAAGAATAACCTTAAACACTCTTTAAGCAACTTCAGTCATCAAGGAAAGCATTTGTCCTGCCATTGCAGTTGACTCCAATCACCAAATAACAGTATATTTAAATTTCACAATTGTCACATCCTGCTATAGCAACAGTAAAAAACAGCCTTGATTTAAATCAAAATCAAAGCTACTGCAGTTTGTATTTGAGGAGCTACCATATATAGTGAAAGACAAAGTAATCCTTATGAATAATGTAGAGTGCTAAAGTTTAAAGAATGCAATTCCTTTTTAGTGTCTATTAAGATACCATTCCTTCAGGAAAAAAAAAAAAAAATGATGACAAATTTTTTTTGAGAAATGATGTTAGTGTATTGGAAACAGCTTCAGCTATCTTTTTTACTGGCCCATTACCAAACAATAATACTAAGCATAACATACTCATTAAATAATTAGTTACACTATTTACATCATTCAGACTGTTGTCCTTATCTTCATTGTCATATTTATGATGCTTCAGCTGTTGTACACACCGGCCTTCTTCAGGTGATATACACTGAAATTTTTAACTGAACTCTTTATTATATCACCTGAAGAAGGCTAGAGTGTACAACAGCCAAAACATCATGAATATGACAAAGATAAGGACAGCAGTCCAAACAATGTAAATAGTGTAAATAGTTACAATACCTCATCTGAGAAATAGAGACAGATGTTGAAGGTGAATATGGCAATAAAGATGAGGACAACAGTCCAAACAATGTAAATAGTGTAAATAGTTACAATACCTCATCTGAGAAATAGAGACAGATGCTGAAGGTGAATATGGCAATAAAGATGAGGACAACAGTTCGAACAATGTAAATAGTGTAAAGAGTTACAATACCTCATCTCAGAAATAGACAGATCATTAATTATTTGTTTATTAATTATTCGGTTTATTTGAACAGTCAATAAAATAAATTTAAAATACAATTTTTGTATGCATCCATTGCAGTTTCTGTTCAGATTAACACTATAGGCCAAAAGTTTGGAGCCACCCTCTGTATTTCAAAGAATTGCCTAAAAATTTAAAGTTGCATACCCTTTTCAAAACTAATTTATTAGCTCACTTTGGACCAGAGTGACTTTCTCTCCTTGAAGGGTTTTATCATATATTCAATAATTAATAATAATGAAATTAATCTATTACTGCATAAGGATGCCTTATAATTTTAGCAATGGTCATCTCAGGGCTGGCAGATTTTAAATTTTAGGTGACCTCCTCTCTAAAAAATTGGATGAAATCCATGAATGGATTAAATAGTTTCAGCCTTCTAGTTTCATAGGAGTTAACTAAAAAAAAGGTTTGTTTGTTTGATTCATTTTCTGCGACTTATCAACTCTTTCCAGGTTAATTAAAGCCAGAAAATATTTTTAGATTGTAAAAATATTTTTTGTAGATAATGATTTAGTAATACAAGTCTTACTAATTAACCCATGGGGGAAGAAGTAGATTCATGCCTTTCCCAAAGGTATTTGCGTATGAGTTGAATATAATGAACTCAATGGGAATTGGAACTTGGATTTCTGATTAACAATCCTGAGCCATTATCCATTACACCACCTGCACATCCAAGCAATCAACCATCTAGGTATTGACCAGGCTCTAAAGAAGATACAAAACTTACTATCAATCCAGTGGATTTCCCCAAACATTTGGCTGATAGTGTATGTTCCAATGATTCCAAACAAAGTAATAAGGAATACACAACTTTAAAATTCTTTTAAAAGACAAAAATGTCTCAATTTTGGGAGAAAGACAAAATATTATTATGAAGGTAGAGATTCATATTCAAAGAACTTTAAATTTAAAATCAAAATTAAGATTCAGCAATGAAACTATTTAATACACATTTTTGATCAATTTGTTATTTTAATAAATTAACATTTTATGGTCAACTTCATCAGAAAAATTGATTTACAAAATCTTCAAGAATACTTAGCAACAACTTAATTTTAGTTTTTCTACCAAAAGAAAAAAAATAAAAAAAGTAACTAAATAAGATAAATTTTTAATATGAAACAAGTGAAAAAAAAATTGTTTTTTTCATAATAAAAAAAGGGTATTTACCCTAAACTGGAAAGATATCGGGCAGCAGGTGAGTTACGTGCAATGCTACCTGCCGGAGATATATGGTCAGTTGTCACACTATCTCCTAAATTAAGAAGGACATAAGCATTGTGAAGATCTTGGATAGGTTCAACCTGGAGGGTCTACAAAAAGAAAAAAAAAAAAAAAAGATTAAGAGGAAGATGAAGGCACAAAATTTGAAAACAATTTTTAAGGCAAAAACAAGTCACAGTTCTCTACAGATTCCATTTCTTGATCTATTCAGAAATTGTTATAAGTTATTGGAGGAAAATAGTTGAATAATTTTCTATTGCCTTCTCCATAGTTTTGAATTCAGAAATATCCTTCTCTTAAACTGGCTGACAATCAAGGCTACAGAACCCTCTCTACACTGTTATTAAGTTAAAAATTAAAACAAAGAGAAAAAGAAAACTTCCATAGAAAGTAAAAAGATGTAATTGAGATATATATTAATATGAATGCCATGTTCCGTCCAGCATGTACTCAATCATGGCTCTTTAGATTCCTTTTGATTATCTGTGTATTGTCATGACTTTTTGGGGATGGTAGTGCTTTCCCATTGACTTCTTCAGTTTTGAAGGCAGAGTTTTTCTTTCTCTTAGACTGGTTGCCAACCAATGCGACAGAGCCTAGTCTACCTTGCTATTTTAACCCATAGCTGAGGGTGGAGAAGAGATGGATTCATACCTTTGCCAAGGGCATTTGTGCAAAAGCGAATGAAGCAACTTAGGCTGAAATTTGAAATCAATCTGCTTTCTGCATCAATAGCTGTTATACTACCTGCACATTAGATTATAATAAATTAAACAAAAAACAAAAAAAAAAAAACAATGGATGGCTGTGTTCATATTTCAAAATTCTGTAACAAATACAATTATTTAAATACTTTACTTTTGAGAATGGGACATTTTTTTTTTAAAATCATTTCACTTCAAGCAAGGTAGGAATGCCACTAGTATACAAGGGGTTACAGAGGGGGAGAAAAAAAGACTTGGTATAAGGGAGACCAAGGAAAGGATAAAAGCTGAATGGGGTTCAAGAAGATAGAAGATGACGATTGACATTGCATTTAAATTTTTGAAGATGGCAGTTACCAAGGAAACGGAAGGGAGTTCCACAGGTGGGAAGTGTGAGAAAAGAAACTGTTGGAAGTAGAAGTGGTGGTTACATTTACCCAATTCAACAGTAAAAGGATGGCACCTAGATGCCAATCTAGTAGCACATTTAAACACACGTAATCTGGGCACCAGGGAAAAAAGCTTATCAGAGCAGTAGCCATGAAAATATTTGTAGAAAAGACAGAGGGAAGCCACGTCATATCTATGAGAAAGTGACTGAAGTTGAGATGCCAGGTCAGGATCAATTACATTGCAGATCCTTCTTTAGATTTTGTCAAGAACCTCAAGATGAACAGCAGGGGATACCAGACCAGATATGTCAACAGTATTCAATGCACAAATGAATAGTAGATTTGTAAATGTGCAAGATGGACTCAGATGAGAAAAACTTTCTGGCATGACACAGTGACCTAACTTTTCTTGCAGTAGATGCAGCTATTGATTCGATGTAGACGTCCCACTTCAAGTCAGTTGAGACCATGAGGCCAAGAAGGTGCGGTGTTTTGCTCTCCAGGAGCCTAGCATCAGCTATGCTGATGGTGGACAGGAAAGTTTCTCTATGGTGGTTAAAAGAGAACAGTTTCATTTTGGAGGCATTTAAATTTACAAGCCATTGCCTGCTCCAGTTGAACACTGACTGGAGGTCCTTTTCAAGAGCAGTGGCCAGACTGACTTTGTTAACTCTGATGGATTTGCTATTGAGACAGGAGTAAATGATAGTGTCATCAGCATAAATGTCTACTTGAGAGAACTGATGACATCAGGGAGATCATTGATAAAGATAAGAAACACTATAGGACCCAGGATAGAGCCTTGGGGAGGGGGACACATGTTCGTGGGAAAGGATCTGGAAGTGAACCTGTTCAAGACGACTTTTGTTTCACGATTTGATAGGAATGTTTGGATTAAATCAAACACGTCCAGTAATACTGTAGCCCTGCAGCTAACATAAAAGATCAGCATGCCAAACCCTGTCAAATGTCTTTGAGACATCTAGAACCACAGCTCAAGCTTTGTTGTTATTATCAAGAGCTTGATATACATATTTAGTGATGGCTGTTAGCACATCAGCAATAGATCTGGCAAAATGGAAGCCATATTGGTTGCTGTACAAGCTAAGATGCTTAACCGCGTCAGCATTGATTAAAACCTTGAATACTTTACCAAAAAGTGGTAGGGTAATAGTCTGAGGGGTCAGAGGGTTCTTCAGAGTTTTTAAAAACAGGAACTACAAAGAAGGACTTCTAAAGCAGTGAGGCAGTAGTTGTAGAGTTTTGAGAGAAATGGAGCCAGCTTAGGAGCACATTTCTTTAGGGTGACAGCTGGGATCCTGTCACCTCTGCTTTCCTTATGGGATTCCAATTTAGAAATAATGTCTGAGTGATGGGGTTATGTGCATATCACTCAATAGAGCCTCTGGTCTAGAAGAGAAATCAGGTGTGAGTAACCCCAATTGAGTAGAGCGTTGAGTTGGAAGAGAATTTCCGAGCAAAGCATTCACAACACTTTATCAAGCTAAAGTATGGCAGAATATAGGAATATCAACAACCAGCAAAGAAAATATGACAATTTTAACCTTCATGACTGCAAACACTATTTATTCATTGTTTATTGGAATTGTTAACAAAACATCAGCTAATTGCCAATCAATTAGAACTTTATAAAATGGTAAATAATAAGGACTTCCTTAGAGTTGGTTCATATATTTGAATAATTTAGTAAATGTTTATAAATAAAAAGAGGTTTTCATATTTATTCCTTCAGGTGGCTGAAATGAAAAAAAAATGCCTCACAACCCTCAGACAACTAGCGAGAGGCTTTAGCTTTTAATAGAGCTGTCACCCCTATTGACAGTAATAAGATCACCCAGTGGAACTCTAAAAAAAAAAAAGAGCCAATGTTTTTCTCTGCAGTGGGTTTTTGTCTGTTGCCTGGAGAACCTGTGTCACTTAGGATTTTTGCCAGTTGCTTGCTTGCAGAGAGCAGGGAAAAAAAAGAATATTACTTAATTTAAACTACACTTTATAAATTGGTAAATAATATTGCATTGTGTTAGTTTTAATACAATCATATTAGTTTTTAGAATGTTGAAGTCAAAGAAGCTAATGTCTCCATCTGCGGATCTAAACAAAGACTTGGTATTTTTGTATAACATTATTATGGTAGTTAATGTCTTGAGGTGGGGAGGGCATATACCAAAGGGATCTTCTTCATTTTTACCCTATGTACAGAATTGAATGCTTTAGAGAAATCTACAAAAAGTAGGATGGCCTGTAGATTCTTTGCCCTGATACCCTCTATAATCTACTGAACAGTCAGAATTTGTTCAATGATTGATGTATTTTTTTGAAAGCCATTTCGATTTTTTGGAGCACCTTCTCTACTTCAGGCTATATTTTGTTGAGAAACACTGAGTTGTAAATTTTTGCGGCAATAGGTTTATATTATTAATAAATAAGTTAAAGAATACTTTCAAACTTCTGTTGCAGACATTACAAAGAAAGTATTATTTTTTCTATTATCCTCTTGGGAGTCAGTTCTGTAAGGTAGTGGTTTGTGGGAAGAGGCTGCTTGAGTGGAATTTACATCTCACCAATAAGATACAAATAGAATGAGGGTGGTTTGCTACACTGTATGTGGCATGGCAGGTCTTAGCTATGAAGGTAAAAACTGATGGAACTAAAGAATGTAGTTCTTCTGAACATTTTCCATAGTAATAGTAACAGAGCAGCAAGAGGCTCACAATGTTTCATCTGTGAGGAAAGGGGTTGTAGGGTGGAAAATAATTTGTCATTGAATAATTTTATATTTACAACATTCTAAAAATATGAACTAAGACATGTAATATTTATCATTTATCAATTTGTAAAGAAATAAATATGAAAACAATTTTTTATTCATAGATTTATAAACATTTATGAAATTATTAAAATATGTTTGAATCAATTGGCAGTTAGCCGATGTTTTGCCAACCATTCCAAAATTATTCTTGTAAATAAACAATTTAATAAACAGTGTTTAATATTTTTGTTGGACACTTTTTTTCTCTTTTTTTTTTCAGGTACAAAGGTTAACAAAGGTTAATGATTGCTGAAAATATTAGATGACACAAATAGGGTACAAAAGAATGAATAAAAATTAACTTTAGCTAATTCGTAACAATTGCTTATCCATCACCTCTGGAATAACTTCCCAGAGGAAACAATCATGTAACTCTGGAAATGTTCCCTGCTTGACTTACTTACCAAACCTGAGGAAATAAACAATGATTTTGATTGGTGGGTGGGGTTTTTGTTGTGTTAAAACATTTCAGCATCACCTCATAATCATAACACTGACAACATTTGATTATTCTGAGTTGTAATGTATTAACCCCAAAAATTTTATAGTTAAATTTATTGAAACATAATATCAGTAATAATAAAAATGATAGTTATGACAATAATATGGTAATGCAATTCTGAGTTGGCTTGCTGTCATTTGTTTCTTAATAAAATTACTAGCTCTTGCTTTAGTTCCACCAGTTCAGACATTTACAGCTAACACCTGTCATATCTATGGAGTTGGATCACCCTCATTCTTTTTGTATTCCATTTGTAATTAGTCATACTCAGACAGATTCTTCCTAAGAATAGAAACTTTCTAGAAGAGTCTCCTGCATGGAACCTTCCCAAACACTACAATCTTAACTTCTACATGTCCGGGGATCAATTGTTATTTATCCACCATAACTTTATAATCTTCACTTCTTACATTGGGTGAACTTTAAAAAAAAAAAAAAAAAAAATATTTTACTTAAAAAAAACTTACCATGTCATCAAAGAAAGGAGGTGATTTTATGTATGTTGAATTTGGATTCCAAGGATACAACAAGCCATCAGGCACCTTTAACGAGTGCCAACGTTTGGAACCAACCTGCAATTTAAAAAGAAATCTTTATGACCTTTGAGAAAAAAAAAAAAATTCCTAAAAAATCTATAGTTAAGAAAAAATATAGAATTTGTTAAGCTCAAATTCTGATTAAATAAACGTCAATAATTCAATGTTCTTGGAATATCTAGAAAACTGAAACTGGAGTTTCTGGTTTTTGAATGTCTGCTAATTGGTAAAGTTTAAATTTAAATGGGTTATTTTACCTTCACACCAACCCCAAAGGTCATCTTTTGCTGAATTGGGTAGTTTTAAAATTTTTGTTTCTTTTGCAGACAAATTCTTTTATAAAGGTGCAATTTTATAAGGGTGGGGATGCAATTCAGTTTTAGTTACATTTTGTAGCTGGGTGTATATTCAGTTTCCTTTTTATATTTTGGGATAAAGATTTGTTACTTTTAAGAATTCTAGAATCACTTTGGGTTCAATATTCTAAAAGAGGGCCCTAAGGCTGAGTACATTATAGAACTATTTTTGCAGTTAAGCAAAAAATGCTTGACAATGAATACTTCTTGATAGTTTGGGCATTTTGAAGGAAGAGGTGCATTATGGGGAGGGGTCAATTTTGATTCTTGTAAGTGTGACATCATTTTTTCATGAATGTCTGAGACTGTGGTGTTGTACAGTCAGAATGGGTTTTATTTGATATAATTTGTTGTTTGTGTGTGTATTCCATGATTTTTGCCATTGGTTGAGGATGTAAGAGTTAATTATAGCTTTTAAAGGGGATTTTTGAATTTGATCTTTTCATTGAGATGGATTCCTTGGCTGCCTTATCAGTTCAATTGGTAAGGTAAGGGGATCATCAAGTAATAGTGTCTTAAAAAAAAAAAAAAAAAAAAAAAAAAAAAAAAAGGGGGACTTGACTACCATTTAGTGGGAGCACAATCCTGGAAGTAGACAATGACTTTAATAAAATACATGTACAGTGTTGATATTTACAGTAGTTAAGTATGAATTCAAATAAAACCTGAGAATAACAAAAAATAACCTTACCTATTATTGTGCTAGATCTGCTTACAATAAGCAATTGTATTTGTAGAGTAATTGAGCAAAAAATGCTCACCAAACAGAATTGACAAAGTTTCCAATAAACAATAACAAAAAAAAAAAAAAAAAAAAAAAAAAGAACAGGACAAAATAATATGAAGAAAACAATATATATGCAAGTCAAAACGAGGCAAAGCAATTGTAATGAGGCAAAAAGATTACAAAGAAAGAATGGTGTTAACATGCCAAAAGGGATACAGGGATATTTGTAGCTTTCTGACTTAAAGACAAATAAAAACAAAAATATGGTGGATGAGACCGAGAAGTGACCCATTTTATTGTTTAGGAAGAAATCCCAGCATGCACCTGTAGGATTTGTTTATAAATTTGGGAAATGGGATGTTTTTGCAGTCATTCCTATCAAGATTGGTTTGTTTTGTTTTATAGCATATCAACCTCAATGAGTTATTTAATCTCAACAAGATTTTTACAATAGATTTGTATGAATAGAATCTATATTCTTTATAAAGAAACAGTTTATAGATCCAGTTTCACTGACATACTTTTGTAAAGAGGGTTGTTGTCAAGAGTCTGGTTTCATTGGTGTATTCTTTTCAGATAAACAGTTTGTAGATAAATTGAAATTGTTATTTGGTTTATAATTTTGGTAGACTTCTACCGTTTTGAGAAATGATATTATATCATCCACTTTTACTTTCTTGAACAACTCAGACATATTCTTTATATGATAGGATTCTTGTCTTGAGACAGCAAGACCTGAGCACTCAGTTAATATATGTTTAATAGTATATATTATTTTACATGCTTTGCATACTGGTTGATCTTCTTTGTTTAATAAGTACGAATGGGTTATTCTTGTATGGCCAATGTGTATGCAGGCCAGTACCACTTCTTCCTTACAAGATTTTCTGGGAGCTGATTTTCATTCTAGTTTGGGCTGGGTTGCAAAGAGTTTATTGTGTGGGTTATTGTCCCAGTACCATTGCCAGTCCTTTTGAATATATATATATATATATATAATAAAAAGGCTTAAACACTAATATTAGTGCTTAAGCCTTTTTATTATATCCTTACTCTGTCCTAGACATTGAGTTCTACCTGGATTCTCCTCTTGGAATTTTTTTTTGAAAATATACATGTATGGGTATTTTTATATTTTTTCATATGTATGTATATTTTCCACTAATATTATCTATATATATATATATATATATATATATATATATATATATATATATATATTATATATTCACAGACAATATAAATTTATTTACTTTTTTTATACAATTTCTCATGTGATCTAATAATTTTTTTCTTTCAGATGATAAATTATATAAAAACTGTCCAAATATTCTTTTATCTGAGCGCTTTAAATATACATTTAGCCATTTTCAAAGATTAAATATTTTAATTGTTAAATAAAAATAGTTTGTTGTATATATGTTTTTTATAAAATGTTTTCATTTTTTCAAAACATGGTCAAAATATTGTGTCCATTTAAAATATTTAATCCTTGAAAATGGCTAAATATAAAATAAAAGCAAATTTAATAAAAAGAACATTTGGACAGTTTTTATATAACTTATCATTCGAAAAGAAAAAATTATTAGATCGCATGGGAAATTGTATAAAAAAAAAAAAAATAAAATCACCTTGTCTGTCGTATTCAATAAAATGTGCATGAAAGAAGGATTGCTGCTTAAATACACACACACACACACACACACACACATATATTTTTGTACCTTTAGTAAAAGAAAATTACCAACTTAATTAAAGATTAGCATTATAAATCCAAATGACAACTTACCTCTATTACTCTGTAGACTTCTTTAAACAAAGCTGGAATTACAAATTCCTTTTCCACAGCCTGTTGTAGAAAGACAAAATAATAAGGGAGATAACTGAAGGAAACTTTTGTAACCTTTTAAAAATGATTCGGTTTTAATAAGAGATAAAATGCTTTGTTTAAGCAAAACTTCCTCTTACAATATTTTATTATTTTCTTATAAATGAAAAATGTAAAATTTTTTTTTATTTTTACTGTGAATAAAAACATGTAAAAAAAATGCATTAAAAAACAATTAATCTAGAAAAAAAATAAATGAGAATGGGTTTTAATAGAATGTATTTTTTTTTTTTATAAATAAAACTGCAAAGATTTCCATTTGATAAAAAAAAAATTTTTCAACAAAGATTCTGATACTTCATGACATGACCCTCAAACTCAAAAATTGGATCTCATGATGAAACTAATGGTAACAAAATACAAACATAATTTGTGTGTCCCTTTTATGTATACAAGTGCTCCATTTTTAAATACTTAAAAAAAAAAAAAAAAAAAGAAAAAAGCTTTTGGGTTATTAATGGATAATAATCTATATGTAAATAGTAAAAAAAAAAATTTGTGTAAATATAACAGTGGACACTGAAATCAACACTGCGTGTCAATAGTCTGTTTCATGCTTGAACACAATCTTTTTCTGCCATTTATTTGGTTCAAACTAAAGCTCAACTATTTATATATATCTGGTCAAAAGGGCATGAAAGGTCAAATATTTCTGGCTTATTGTATTATCCTAATGGTTATTGGGTAGACAGCAAAGGTTATATTTCAATAATTATTCTAAAGGCTATTGATTAGAAATAATTGTGGGTTAGAATGTAATTATTTGTGGCTATTGTAAAATGTTCTTTGTTAACTTTTAACTTATTATTTATTATTGATTACTTAGGCTATTTTTTATTTCTTCATTATTTGTTGTTGATAATCACATAAAGATGTATAATATATAAAAGATACTTATATTTCACTGTTTTTCACAACCTGCAGTTTCATGTGGACATGCAGTTTATTTGTGGGCAGTCACACAATTGTCAGGTGGTTGAAAAGAACAGGACACCCAATTCTGAATTAGGTGGCCATTACATGACTCATACTGTGAGAAGAGGAGCAGAACAAAGATGGAAAAGAGTGACTGTTTTCCTTATTAACAAAATACCACCATATAAGGCTTGCAACTCAATATCTAAGAAGAGAAACAGGTGGATAAAGGCTTTAAAGGTTATCTCACACCAATGTTTTTAATCAAAAATTTATTTTTATACCTGCAAACAGAGACAAGCTCTTGCTTTCTGTTTATCATTTTGTCATCACCCATGCTCTACAAGATCAGCGCTTTGTTGCTCTTTATTCTAAACTCATGCTTAATGCTCAAAATTTTCCACTCAGTTGTGGGATCCAGCCTGCCCACTTCCTTTATTTGCAAATAGTATGTAGACAAAGTTGTAAGATTTTTGTACTTTTCATTGCTCAGGTTCAGCTTATTTTTTTATAATCTACTTTTTTTTGCAGCTCCAATTATAAAAACCTTTTCTTGTTTTATTAATTTTTTCAATTCATTTACATTCTTTTCAGATATTTTCTCTAGGTCTACTGCTGATGTGTTAATGGTTATTAATGAATTTGTCTAACTCTAGATAAGAATGGCAAGGCTTGAGCTGTGGTTTTCTCAAAGGTGTTTGACAGGGTTTGGCATGTTGGCCTTCTCCACAAGCTCAAGGGTTATGGTGTCTTTAGCCAGATATTTGGCATGATCAAATTGTTCTTAAGGCTGGAGAATACAATAGCTGAAAGGTTGTGAATCTATATCTATAATTCTCAAAATGTGTGTATGTATGTGTGTGTGATTAGATGTTGTTTATGCATTTCCACAGTTTTCATCCGATTTTGATGAAAATCTTTTTGTTTGATAGATAATTCTTCAGTGCCAGTTTTGAGTCCAAATTGTTGGTGACAATGGTTCTCCACTACTTCCTGTCCATTGTAACTTTCAGCAACGTTTTACTATTTACTATCTGTTCTTGGATATATATCTTTCATAAAAACTTTAATAAAAATAAATAATTTAAACTATTAATTTTGTAATAATTTAAATTATTACAAAAATATTATTTATTATTATTATTATTATACAGTTCCCTTTTCAGGGCCACTCTATATTCAAATTGTTAGCCCCCCATTTGGGGATGTGACACAGTTGACCCAAATGTTGTTACTAATAGTGATTTTTGGGTGGGCTGATTTTAAACTTAAACTAGATTGAATTGAACGTCAAAATGTTTTACTGTTGAATCTGTAGGTCAAATGATAACCATAAATTCTATTCTAATATTTTTAAAATGAAAAATATCTGTTAAACTCTTCCAGTTCCTTTATTTTTTCTACCTTAGCTATAATCTTCAAAATTTTAATTGAACCAATTGCCATCTTCTGTCTTCCTGAATCCTTTTTTTTGTCCTTTTTCTCATTCTTTGTTCAATTCCCTCAAAAGACTCCCAGTAAACCCTTTTTGATATTAACTTAGTATTATCATATTGCTTGGGGTTGAAATTATATATATATATATATATATATATATATAAAGAAAAAATTTTAAAAAGTAATGTATATTGTCCTCTGAGGGACTTTATAAAAAATTTTTATAAAGATTTTTATTTTTCCTGACACAGATATTTATATAAAATTTAGAAATGTTAAGAAAGATATTTCAAATCTTTTGTTTTTGGAACATACAGAAATATTAGGTCACAGAAAATTCAGGCAAATTATATGGCATTATAAAATTCAATAAATTTTCCTTTGTCTTTATTCATATTGTCATGTATGCAGGTAAACTATCTGAAATTTATATATATATATATATATATATATATATATATATATAATTATTTATTCGAAATTAATTAAACAAATATGTTATAAAATCACTACAAAAAAATATTTTGTTTCAACACTTCTGGTGTCTTATCAAGTGATGGTGTTTTATATGTTATAATTTTAAAATTTTAATATTTGCTCTATTCTATATTGAGCAATCTTTTAACAATTGTATTTGTTAAATTGGAATTTATTCCATATACAAAAAAATATAAGATATTATATATATTTATTGAAAATATTATATTATGTCTGCAATTTTTATTAAAATCCTTTCAAGATTCATGAATAATTTTTTTTATATTACTATTGTACATGTGGAAAAATATTTGTGAATATTTAAGGATTAAGATAAAATAAAGCATACATAATATTAATTGTATTCAATCAGACATGCCTAAAAATCTAATTTGCTGCCTAAATATGGTTAAAATTTTTTTTTTTTTTTTTTTTAAGAAAAAAAAAAAAAAAAGAACACAAATAACAGATAGATGCCAACAAATATCATCTTGAAAAAATCATGGCCAAAAGAAGGTATACAGAATAAGATTTTAAATATGGGATTATTTAGATGCCTAGACATCTATGCCATCACCTATAAACTGTGAAAACTGAATTTGATGCTTACCAAAATCATTGCAATCTATTTTGTGCTTGAAAATTTCAAATGATATTTTAGATTAAGCAAAGAGTAAATGAAAAAAAATTATGACTCACCTGTATTTCCTCCCGTGATGGCCAGATATCTTTCAGGTAAACTGCTTTCCCCTCACTACTGTGACCTGAAAAAACAAGATGTCTTATATATTATCAAAATGATGAAATACGTGTGTGATTTGTCATTTCTAAGAGGAATCTAAATCTTGTTTGATTTGTTTGAAACGAAAAATCAACTGTGTAAATATATTTAATGCTTTTATTTTAATTTTCTTGAGAAATTTGAAATAAAAAAACAAAATATAAAAATATTGTTGGTAATTTTACTATAAACAGGTAAAAAATATTTCACAAATTTTTGTTTTTGTTTGGGAGGTTCATTATTTATACGATAGCTGGGACCCTAACAGGCTTAAAACCAAAGAAAGTGGACCTGAGAACAACAATTAATGAGTTATCCACTTCCAATAAAAAGGTTTTGATGCCAAATGTAGTTTATAGTCATATATTTGACTTAAATCTTCTTTGGCAATGTTAGTTGGAATAATTTCAGTTTCGAGAAGAAATTATTCTTTGTAATAAGAATAATAGTAGATATGCCTATCACTTTTGTTATCAATAAATATCATATGAAAGCTTATGGATATGGCAAAAATTTCAGCTGATAATTCTTTTTAATGATATTTTGTGGTTAGGCCTAACAAAAAAAAAAAAAAAATCTAAATTTTAATTCTGTTATTAATTAAGTCAAGAAAGAAAAAAAATGTCATTAGAAGCTTAAACTTAATTCATATCTAGAATCAGGGTGTGGAGACCATGTTGACATGTTAAGCAGAAAACTATGTCTGATTGTAAAAATCATTTTTTTTTTTTTTAAGTGAATATTGCAATAATGTTTTGTGAGAATAACAATGATTTTTCCAGATACAAATCTTACTATTTAACTCCTAGCTGGGGGGAATGGATGCATACCTTTCCCCCAAAGTATTTGTAGGAAAATGAATATAACGAACAAGTTTGTATGAATGTGCGGACAAAATATAATAGGTGGAACCTTACCAACTGGCTCAGTTTCAAAATCTATGTGGACTGTTCCTGCCAATGCATAGGCAACAACCAGAAGAGGAGATTTTTCATTGGCTCGGGGTAAATATGAACTAAATTGTTTCATAGTTTTGTTTCCAGATAACACACCAACAGCAATCAGATCACCCTAAAGAGAAAGAAAAAATTTGAATGGCAGATAGAAAATTTGTATACAATACATTTATTTTCCAGCCTAATACACAGAAAATATTTACAAGTTCTAAGACACATCCCCCACCCCGACAAAAAAAAAATTAAAAAAATAAACATCTTATAATTATGCTTGTCCTTCCCTTAGTTAGCATACACACACGTACACACATACATACATACATACATACATTACATTACACCCTGCCAATACCTCATAAATAATGGACTATTCCATCTTGACTACATGGAAAGACAGGAAAAAAAAAAAAATAAATAAATAAAATAAAACATATCAGAGACAGTTGGCTTTGGTGAGAAAATGAAACAAATAAATAAAGTTACTTAGCACGACCGTTACGCCCTGCCAATACCATTTAAACAATGAAGTGTTGTCCATGTGGAAAGATGGAAAAGACATAGCAGAGAATCTTCTTGGTTTCAGTAAGAAAATGAAAGATAGAAAAAAAAAAGAAGGGAAGATAAAAGTGTTTAACGTCCATTTCAATAAAATGTGTAAAGTTGGCACTTTCATTTGTACCCTCTTACTTCTTTAATGATTAGCATTCATATTTATGATTGTTATTGCAATATTATGTTAAAGTTGTTAAGTTAAAATATTTTAACGATGCACTAAGGTAATTTCTACAGATATTTTATTGTTAATATAACTGTTTGTGGAGTGTTTCAATCATTAACTTAAAAATTAAGATTCATCAGAAAATTCAAGTAAGGAAATCGTGAAATTTTCATAGATATTTCTGGTGAAAATTAAAAAGACAAAATTGTAATCTGGTTTCTCATTTTTGAATATTATTCTTTTCCAGAAGAATTTTTACATAAAAAAAAAAAAAAATCATTAAAGAATAAAAAGAAATGGCTGAAGATTAATAATAGTCATGGATCAAATTCCAACTGAAATGTAAATATTTGTCTATAATTCTGAGATGAGGTATTGTAACTATTTACATTGTTCAGTCTGACCTCATCTTTATTGCTATACTCACGTTTTGGTTGTTGTATGCTTAGGCCTTCTTCAGGATCTATTTCTATTTCTGAGATGAAGTATTGTAAAGATTTACACTATTTACATCATTCAGACTGTTGTCCTCATCTTTATTGCCATTTTCGCAACATTTCGGCTGTTGTATTTTTTGAAAGACCTTCAGAAATGCTCTATATTTCTGAGATGAGGTATTGAAACTATTTACATTATTTAAAGAAGTTGTTTCATCTTTATTGCCATATTCACAACATTTTTTTGTTAATAATTTTACAATTTTAAAACTTCTTCAGGTGATATACAATGAAATTTCAAACCAAACCCTTTATTTAGCCCATGGGAGGTAGATTGTTCTAATTCCATGTGCCATGCCTTATTATGATAGTTTCAGTTGTCTTCAGTAACTAAACTCTTTTGTTTCTTCTGCTGTGGCCAGGTATTGAACTTAAAACTCTTTGGATCAAGTTACTTTTTGGATTACTTCAATCAACACTTTTATCCCCTGCGACATCAGTGAATGAATTGTAAATGTCATACCTTGTCAATGGAAGAAAATTACGAAGTATCATGCAATGAAATAGCTGTTCCCATTTTTTAAAAATGGTATCCATAACCAACTATATGGAATCTGAAGGAAAAAATTTTGGAGACCTATGTAGACAAATCTGACAACAATCTCTAAATTTTGAGGGAGCTGATATTAGAAATGACAATCAGCCTTTGATATTTAAAAGAAGATAATAAAAACAAAATATTAACAGAAAGAAAAACAGACATGTTATACAGATCATACTTATTATAAAACCCAGGTTGTGTGTGTGTGTGTGTGTGTGTGTGTGTGTGTGTGTGTGTCTGTTCATTTATATATTGGATCGGATTTCCTATATTTTTCAACTGATTTCAACAAAAGTTCACAGGACTACGTAAAATTACCTTGCGGTGGTTCTGACGGCGCCAAAAACTGGAAAAACACAATTGTTTTTGCACAAAATCAATTTGAAAACACAATTAAGAGGCATTGCTGTCGAGAATGAAAGGGGGACAACTCATATCGAGTTATACTTATTATTATAAAACCCAGGTTGTTTGAGTGTGTGTGTGTGTGTGTGTGTGTGTGTTCCTTTATATATGGGATTGGATTTCCTACATTTTTTCAACCGATTTCAACAAAACTTCACTTTTTTTTTTTGGTAGTGTTTCTTATTGTCTTGCACACTTTTTTTCTTTTATTTTTACATTCAGAATGCTTTAAAAATTCCATTTACAAGACAATTGTTTATAATAAAATTCTATTCAATTGGTAGACTCATAACGATTGAAAACAATGTTTTTGTTTGAGTTTGACCAATTCAAAAAAAAAAAAAAAAAAAAAATAAATAATTAAGACATGCATGTCCGTCAACCTTAAACAATAATCTTTGTCAATTTTATTTTTCAGTCTTTATGATGGTCGATACTTGATCTATCTCTTAATGTTAGATCCCCAGGCAATACCAGGCTCTACTGCTAGTATAATATAAACAGACTGCTTGCAATCATTGCATGTATGTGTATGTCATATATTTATTATTATGAAATTAGAAATAATAATGTTCATGACTTATTGAAGGCCAACTCAGAGTTACGCAATTTTTCAAACTCATTAAGACTTTTGATAATCATTCTTGCCAAGACTCCCGATGAATGATTGAAAAAAAATATTACTGAGTTGACCTTCAATAAATAGTGAATGTTATTACTTCTAATTTAATAATGATCATTGCTCTAGTCTAATATTAAGCACTTTATTAGCACATATACGTTAAATTATGTATATTATTTGCTAATATATCTGCCAGATCTCACCCGTCTCAATCTCAATCTCCATTGAGGCATGAGGGAGGTGCTTCTGGCCAGGTATGTGAGTTTCTCCATTGTGCAAAGCTGTCCACCAAAATCAAATTCATACAAATGGCCTCATCAAATTCTCTTTGATTCACAGCCATCTCCACCAAGGGAGAAAAAAAAGGAATAGGGAGAGAGGATGATTGGATATAAGAAGGTGCTGGCAACAAATTTGCTAATATTAACAGCTAGTATATATATATATATATATATATATATATATATATATAAAGAAAGGGATAGATTTTTATTTATTAATCCGACAGTTTTTAATTACTTTAATGTTACTTTTAATGGATAACCATATTTGAGTAGGCCCTCTGTTTATTTATTAAACAGTATATTTATTTTTGTTTATTTGCCTGAATATTTGACAAATCTTATTAAAGAAAATGGTGCGCTTTCTGATGAGATTCTCGAATATTCAGGAAAATATGCGCTTTCCGACAGAGCGCATATTTTTCATGGATATTCATGACTGCATAATAAATAAACAGAGCATCTACTAAAATACAAGTATCCACTAAAAATAATGTTTAAGTAATAAAAATCTGTTGGATTAATAAGTAAAAAATCTATTCCTTTCTTTAGAAATTGCTTTGTTTACATTAGGATACAAAATTGAGTAGAAAAATCTATTTTGAGAGTCGGAGAAAAATCTGTGTTTAAAGACACCTTTCAACTTTGCTTGGTCATTGACACACTGTAACTGAGAGGTCCAAAGCACACAGATGTAATGACGGTTTCCCCTAGAGGAATGCAGGTACAAATCCTGCCAGAGAGCAAATATTTTCTCTAAGATTTCTTGAATATTCAGGCTGGTAGACAAAATAATTAAATATACTATTTAATAAACAAAGTAGTTACTCAAATATGGGTATGTACTAAGAATAATGTTTTATATATATATATATATATATATATATATATATATATATATATATATATATAAGGGTGTGTGTGTGTGTGTGTGATGCGTCAATTTGTCTAAATTAGGGGGAAAAAATTAACACTGACATCTCATTTTAACAGATATATTTAACAAAAATTACACAAAAATATCTTAAATACTATAGAGTAAATTTATTCAATAAAATCACCATTGGCTTTAATCACAGCCTCCAGCTGACTTTGGAATCTCCTGCAGCTCTTCTGGACAGTCTCCTTGTTCAAGTTGGTGAATGCTGCCATAATCCTTGCCTTCAGTTTATCTTTGGTGTTTTTTTTGTTTTTTTTTTACAGAAAGGTTCACCCTGTACAAGCCCCAGGGGCCACTCAAAGTAAAGGGTTACATTAAGGGGTAGTTTATATGGATAAGAGGGGAAGATAATAGTTGGCTCTAGACTTGAGCAGTTGAACAGGATAAGATGTAGTGATCGAGGAAACATCCTCTAGGGACTCGTCTGTTCCATAGAGCATTGGTTCATGGGAAGAAGCTGTTTGGGTGGAGCTTACTCAACAGTGGAATATGGAGGGAATGTGGGTGGTTTGCTACTTTGTATGTGACATGGCAGGTCCTAGACGTGGATGCCAGACCTGGTGGAACAAGGAAATGCAGTTTGTCCAAGAACTGTGAGAGGCTTGCCAAAACCCACCTGTGAGAGAGAGGTTGGAAGGTGAAAGATAATTTTTCTCCCACAAGGACTTGGAGACGCTTATTAACTATGTCAAGACTGGAAAGTGAAGACCAGGCAGCTCCTGACCAAATATGGCAACAGTAATCCATTTTTAACCTGATCTGGCTCTTATAAAGGTAGAGGATAGTATGAGGAATCAGGTACTTACTGGAACGGTACAAGTAGCTGATCACTTTACCTGCATTTTTAACGATGGATCATATATAGGAATTCTACTTGAGCTTGGGTGCGAGTTTGATGTCCAATATCCTCTCAAGGCACGGGACCTCCTTGAAGGGACCTCTATTCATCATGACTGGTGTTAGTTCAGGGTATGATCGGCAGTGATGGAATGTAACCAGTTTGGTTTTAGATGGATTGAATGTAACCAGTCAGTCCCCCCCCCACACACACTGGGAAGTTAGTGTTAGATCGGAAGAGAGGTCAGCTGTCAATTTCTGATTGTCAAGACTTTTAGAGGTGCACCAGTATATTGTTGTATCATCGGCATTGATGTTTACAAATGATCAGAGTATATTTTTAGGTAGATCATTTATATAAATCAGGAAGAAGGTTGTCTGAGAAGTGAGCCCTGGGAGACACCTGTGTTGACCACCAGGGCCTCGAAGGACTGGCTATTAATAATTACCTTCAGGGATCTACCTGTTAGGAAGGATTTCATAATAGAGAAAATCCATCCTGCGCTTCCATAGCTGGAGAGCGTGTGTAGCAAAACTTTGTGCCACAACTTATCAAAGGATCTTTGAGAAATCTAATGCTATGGTCTTTGTGGTATGTGTGTCATAAATGGCCTCACTAATTCTGTGTGTAATGGTAGGATATCAGCAGTAGATTGAGCTGATTGAAACCCATACTGCTCGTTGCACAAGAAGTTGTTCCTATCCAGGTGCTTGATAACCATCTTGTTGATTAAGACCTCAAAAAGCTTACTGATGATACTGAGGAGACCAATGGGTCTATAGTAGGAGGGGGAGGATCGGTTGCCCATGTTCTTGAAGACTGGGGATATGCTTGCCATCTTCCACATGCTTGGGAAAGATATCTCCTTCAAGCAGTAATTAAATAACTTTGCTAGAATCAGGGATAATTCTGGATTGATATTCTTAAGGACGACCACTGGAATTTTGTCTGGGTCAGTGGCTTTTTTGGGGTTGAGGCTTTTGGTAAGTCTCGAGACTTCTCTTGCTGAAATGAGTATATTACTGAAATTGTGCTCAGTGAGACATGGGAAGTTGTAGAGGAGACGGCCTTTGTCATCTAACGTTCAGGTTGAGGCAAAGAACTGCATCTAGTCTGTCGAGGATGATATGACCTTGGGGCCATTTATAATAGTGGACACAGCTGCTTTGCATCTGTTCATAATTTGGTTGGTGATCTCCCAGAATTTACAGGATCCAATTTATTTATTTTCAACCTTGGACTGAACAGATCATCTGTAGCTTCACTTTGCATTTTCCAGGACTCTCTTACAGTGATTGTGGGTGGTTCTGAAAGGCTGGACTATACTGGTCCTTGCGATAGATTTTGAAGTAGTTATAGTGAGCTATGGTTGCTGCACATTCAAGAGTGAACCAGAGTCAACTGTTTGGTTACTGTGGGGGGTAACACAACAACTCAACTGATAATAGCATGTAGGAACAAAAAAAAAATGCGAGGAGGGTAACCGACAAAACCGGTGTCACATGTCCAACCTTCTCATGAGCCAAAAGCCCTCTGACCCGAAACAGAAAAACGCGCCTGCTTTATACAGCAAAGACCGACCACAATTTGCATGCGAATGACGAGACAACGAGATTTCGCGTTAACTAACCGAGACTGCCCGTCATAATACATGGGCGCTGCCATTGTGGTTCCTTTTGCCGCTAGCAGACTGGAGTTTGCACACCGCACAGATTCGCAGGCATTTCCAAGGTAGGCCATTTTCACAATTTTCCCCAGAGTTACAAAGAGTTTTGTTGGTCTCTCGTTCAACTGTCCCCTACAAAGAATAACCAAGGGGGTTGCAGTCTGAGGAGTTAGGTGGCCAGATGTAAGGGATGATATGGTCGCAGAAATTGTCAGACAGCCATGACTGGGTTTTCCTGCTTGTGTGGCATATTGCAGACTCCTGTTGACAGACATAGGATCTTACAGTAGCCATCCTCAAGGTACTTGATGTAGGCCTCTGTGTTGGGTTTGAGGCCCTCATCAACAAATTCAGGAGTTCTTTTCTTATCAGAACAATCAGAGTGAGTTTTCTGAGCTGCCATACCTTTGTAATCAGCATTAGACTCATTTAACTCTTCCATATCCTCTACACTGTCTTCAGATTGATACCCAAACAGTTTGAAATATTTGTATTGGAGCTTCTGATGTGAATAACAAGCAGTACAGCATGCTGTTTCTAAATTTCTGCTGGAGTGAATTGCGTCATGGTGCTCTTTTACTCACAAACGGTGCCCAACTGACCCTACTATACTGTGCAGTCAACAAAAAATCCAAAACAATATGCATGTGCAAAATTAAAAATATAAAATGGTGACAATTCACCCATTGCATCCTGTATATATTGTACATTGAGTGGTGATGCTAATAAAATAGTGCTTGATGCATAATAACAGAGTTATAATTTATATTAATAATATACATATAAATAAATATACATTTTCTTCTTCACTGAATTTCATGCCCAATACAGTTGTCAGGTGTTGGGTGAAAACAGACTGGTCAGTTTTTAGTTAGCACTTGACAATTGCATTGTGCATGAAACTCAGAGTTGTGAGGAAAAAAAAATGTAATATATGGCTACACACACATATCTCTTATAAAATGTGAGCTCTTCCAAAGAAAATAAAATAAAAAAAATGTATTCTTTTTGAGTACATACTTTGTGTCCGTCTTCCTCTATTTGGTTAAAGAACACAGAAATATTTCTTGAGACACTATTTTTACAAGTCTTTTTATTGATGGTTCAATAAAAAGTAAATTTATTTCACAACATTATTTCTGCAACTACTTTCATCCACTTTGGCCATCTCCAGGGCATAAAGTTGTTTACAAAATGTGTAGGTGTTTGTTTACTTAAGAGTTTTATTTTGATAGATTTTAGCATTACATTTGGAATTTTAATTAAATTTATAAATTTGGAAAGCAATGCTTGTTCCATTTCAATAGTGAAAATGGCTGCAACTCCCCTCCCCGCCCCAATTTATAGGCAGAGGCACACAAATGCATTCTGGGATTTCTTCCTAGCCAATAAAATGGGCCGGTTCTCAGTTTCATATGACTCAGTCCTCGTCTGTCTTGCCTTGAAGTCAGAACTCTAGATTTGCTTATCCAAATTTGCTTGTGTGTTGACACCAATTCTTGGTTTGTGAACTTTTTTGCCATATTATTGTTGTTCTGCCTTATTACTGTTGATTTGCCTTGCATATATTGTTTGCTTGCTTTATATTATTTTTTGACCTGTTCTTTTTTTTTTTCATGTTGCTTATTGCAAGGTTTGTCAATTCTGTTTGTTGGGCATTTCTACCATTTATTTCTACATTTAACCATTGACCAATGACTCTACAGGCAACTGAAACTATTTGGAGAAATAATACTGGAAAATACACTTAGAATTTTGAACCACTAAAACACACACACAAAAAAAAGTTCTATATATGTTTCAAATTTGCTCTATTTATATAACAGAGCATGTTTTCATGTGTTTTAAAAATCACTATGACAGTGAAATTCAGATTCTATCATAGTTACAATATGTTTGTCTTTGTAATTTACTACTGAAGATGATCTTAGAAAAGGCTGAAAGTACTTTGATAAAAAAAAATGCCTTCAACATCAAGAAACTGATTAGACAACTGGAAAGGATCAGTATAAAAATAAATAGACACAATATGTTTATATTATTCAATGAAACATGTGTGTGTGCAAGTGTAAAATAGGAGATATAAAAAATTGAAAAAAAAAATTGAATGCACACATAGAAAAATGATTGTGTGTATGTGTGTATAATTTTTAGCATTTCAGTTCTTCACATTTTCTTTGATATTAAGTAAAATATAACTTATGCAAATATGTAATGAAATAATTTTATTACATAATAAACAAAAGCTTATCATTTAAGAAAAACAACTTGTTTTAATATTGATGTTATCTTTATTATTCCCATCATTTTTTATAAAATTTATTTTAAACTTATTCTAATATTTAATGAAAATTCCAAAAATTAAATCAATAGATATTTTGGTCAAATAAAACAAAAAATGGTGAGGTGTTTAAGTAATGAATATCAATTATCATATAACTACAATGATTTCTTACCCGAGTTTTTCTAAGTATGGAATGACACCACTCTCTCGTAGATAGTAAGTCACTACACCACTGCCGGGTGATAAACTGGTCTTTATATATGGCTTTTTACTTAGTCCTGATTCTACAGCTTTTTTAGCAAGCAAACCTGAAAGATGGAGAAAAAAGATAAATTAAATTAAAATTTTAGGATTATATATATATATATATATATATATATATATATATATATATATATATATATATATATATATATACACACACACACACATACATACACACACACACAAAACAAACAAAAACATGTGAATGTAGATATTTCATGATTCATTCCTATCGGGTTTGCACAGGCAAGAAATAGCAAAAGGCATTCGAAAACATTTGGCAGTTGAACGCATGTCTTGCACACTCCCAGGTCACTTTTGAACAAGTGGCAACATCTTGCACTTTTACTTCCATATCATATAGAAACACTGCTTCTTGTACAATCACCAAAGTTAAGCAACATCAACTTTGGTCAATACCTAAATGGATGATTGCTTATGAATACCAAGTTCTATAAGTTTGGATGTGCAGGTGGTGTAATGGATAATGGCATGAAATTGGAGAACCAAGTTCCAATTTTAGTCAAGTTCATTATATTCACTTACACACAAATACCCTAGGAGAGGGTATGCATCCACCACTTCAGCTATGGGTTAATTAGTAGGGCTTGTATCAGTAAATCATTATCTTTAAAATATTACAACACTTTAATGTTAATATATCAACACTTTAATGTTAAAGATTAAATTGCGAAAAATATGGAAATATGCTGGAGACATAATTTCCATCTGAATTTAGTGAAAAAGTCAAGAGTAAGAAAACTGGGGTAGGGGGATCAGGAATTTTCACCTTTATAAGATGAGATTCCAATGCTATTAAAATCTGTTGTTATAAAGAAAAGACTGTCAACTTATAGTAGCCAAATCGCAGTTCAAATGATAGTCTGTCATAACAGTCCAACAAGCAAAGTAGAACCAACAAAATGGGGTCACACGTCCAACCTTCACTTCTCACGAGCAAAAATGCGTGTTCAGCCGCCAGCTCAGAAAATCTTCTACCTTTATAAGCAAACTACAACGGCTTTGGTTCATCGAGAGATTTTTCTGATTGGTCACGCCATTCAGGGGAGGGGAGAACATTAGCATAGATTCTAGTAAATCTGAGTTATAGTGGCTCACTGATGTTGCACAGACATGTCCTACCGGCTCTACCTCTTTACTTCAATGACTTTTTGTAATTTTTCTTCGGCAGATTGCACACAGAACACAAACTTTTTTTTCGGGGTAAATGATTATCTCTTTCACTACAAAATCATCACAGTAAATTTTCCAGCCAAATTGAAATTTGTCCATACTTATTTGTTCACAAATTCTTTATTACAGCTGCAAAGATGTTTTTGATTGCAACGTTCATTGATTAGATTTCACAAGTTTACTATTATAACTCTTTCTAATATTGATAAGAGTTTCCTTCTGTTGCAGGAATCACTCCTTTTCTTGCAAGGTTTGAACATTTTTTAGTAAATATTTAATGACTCCTGATACATTTGTCTTGCAAACAATATTGGTGGACTCATGTGAGTCCAGGCAAAAAATAGAAACAAAACAGATTTTAAACAAATAATTAATGCATTGATGTGTACACAGTTGAAAGTAAAGGAAAATATATTAAGAACTTAGTTATTAAGAATGTGCTTGTTTGTGTGTAAATGTGTCCCAGCAGATATTCTCAAATGTGAGTTGCTACATCTTGGAGCAGGAAGAAGAAAGAGGAAGTGGAAAGAAATGTTTGTATTTTTTATAGACTTAAACAGCACCGCCTGGTGAAACCAAGTTGGGTAACCTCTTCCAAACTTTTTAGTTTTAATAAAAGTGTAAAAATTTAACATCTTGATTGCAACAATTTCTTTTCTAGTTACATGCTACCCAACTGGTGTTTCTGTTGGAATATTTAAGCAATATCTGTTTTGTTATAACATTGTCTTAAAAAGACTCATAATTTTAATTTCCATTTAAATTTGCTTTGGTCTATTTTATGGCATATCAACCCATTGACTCATTTAATGCCAAAATTTAACATTTTTCTAAGTAAAGACTTGTATTTAAACAGTCAAAAAAAAAAAAAAAAAAAATTATTTTACATAAGGCTGCTGTTAATTATGGTTATATTTTTTCTTTTAATTATATTTTTAAAATCAGTTTAATTTCCTTTAGAAACTGGAATATGTAAAATGAATCACTATTTTGAAAAAGTTCTTTAAAGTTTACGACCTGGTATTATTTTAAACGGATTGAATTAAAATTACTACAGTTTATCAGTTTGTTTTATGGTTAATGGCTCTTGACATGCCACACATACCAAAGGTTCTTCCTTTTTTTTTTTCCAATATAAGAATGGGTTATGGTTGTATGTCCAATATGGAGCCTGGATATAATCACATGTCCATTTAGATGCTTTAGTATTTGTGTGTGTGTGTATTTTCATCTAATGTCTCCGAACTGTTGTCAAGGAAGGAGGGGGGCTAATAAATGCCTCATTAAGCTTCGCATTTTTTTTTATTTTACTTTTAAAGCATTGCTTGAATATACATAAAATCTATCAAAAATTTATTTTAAATATGCTGTGAACATTTTCGCTAAACTGATAACTTTTTTGCTGATTTTATTTTCTCTAAGACTCCATTTTGTTTGTGGGTGGCTAATAAATGCCTTACATACACCTCAGTTTTAGGCTTCACATACAAGTTCAGCAAAGTTCAGACAGCATTATCATTAGTTTTACAATCTGAAATATACTTGGTAAAAAGCAATGTTATTAATTAATACATTTACCTGGAGTCTGTTGCTCAAGAGTCTCAAGAAAATTGTTTTATTTACAATACTAATATTTTCACTTCTTAGCAATAGAATTTGAATGAATGTTGGTTTTAAACATCTCTGGACGTATTCCTTTGTTACATTTCCTTGTTGATTAAAATGTAAAACTAGAGTTTATTTCTTGGGTTCTATTCAACAAAAGCCATGTCAATATACATGGCAGCATTTTATGGAGCTTTTCAGGAAAATATATACACACTCTAGTCAGCCATTATGTGAGTAATTCTGCACTGAATAATCAGAAGTGTCATGAAAGAATGCATTCACAAATAAAAGTACTCATCTCAGTGAATGAAATAAAGAGTTATGGTGATTCCCTCTACCGGTAACAGATTGCAAAGTGGATGCAAGCACTTTGAAATATACACACACAGAGGCTGTGGAGCAGGGAGTGAGGATGTGGTGCTAGTGCACTTGAAATACACAAGTGCACATAGGCCTTAGAATGAGGAGAAGCACTTAAAATACACACAGATAGAGGCCGTGTAGGAGGAGGTTGTGGTGGTGGGGGGGGAAGAGCACACTCAAAATATCCCTAGAAGCCAAAGAGGAGGAAGTGCATACAAAATACATAAACACAAAAGCTACGTAGTGAGGTTTGTGCACTCTAAATACACACACACGCAGGTAGTAGAGTGAGGTTTGTGCACATACAAAATCCACGGAGCAATCGATGTGCACTCTAAATACACACAAACATATATATGCAGGGTGTGGTGTTGGAGGCGCAAGGGGAATTGCACTTGAAATACATATATACACATATTCATGCAGGCTATGGAGTAGGAGGGAGGATTCTGCTGGACCAGTTGTGATGGTGGTAATAACCTATTAAAAAAAATCAAAGCTGAAACAATCGGCAGCTGGATTAAAAAATTTGAAGTAGCTGAACTTTTTAGTTCTTCAACATATTGAAATACATAATAAAATATATTGACTGATAACAATTTTAAACTATTAACCGAATATCTAATCTAATTCTCATCATTCGCTATCTATTTTTATAAAACTTTTATCACTATTTTATTGTGTTGCTGATTTAAAAATGCGACAACTTTCTTAAAAATATGGCTTTCCTGTGACCCAAGGGTTTAGTAATCAAGATGACATTAATACTGACCTGCACCTAACATGACTGAAGGGTTGCTTGTATTGGTGCAACTGGTAATAGCAGCCACCACCACAGAGCCATGTTTTAGAATCTCTTCCTTGCCTTCATATATAAATGGAATGGTTGTATTGCACTTCTCTGGAGGGATCTGGAAACCCTGGAAAAATAAGGAGAAAATAAAAAGAGCACAGAAACATTAGAAGAGATGAGAATTTTTTTCTTAGCCCCTACAAAAAACTAATTTTAAAACATGGAAACCCTAACAAAATTCTTTTTCTTAGTGATAAGTGATAAGAAAGTCAATTCTTAATGTTAGTTTTTTTTTTTTTTGTGGGAGTGGGGTGAGTAAAATTTTAGTAGCAATTTATTCTTGGGGACTAAAACCATTTCAGCCTTTCTCTTGAATGGTCAGTCTTATACATATTCCAGATCAGTCAAGTTGTTAAATTGTTGCAGCTTTGCTGAAAGGAGAGGCAAATATGAGAAAGAGAAAATTCAGTCTTTTTTTTTTTCCTCTCTCTCTCTCTCTCTATTTTTTTTCAAAGCTTACAACTTTAAAATTATGAACATTAATTTTTGGTCGGGGCTAAAAAAAGATCCCCAAAGATGTTAATTGAACTGACATAAGTTTGGTATAAGGTCACATTAATCAAATTTCCAGCAAGAAACAAATTTAGTATTGATTGTTATTTAGACTGAAAAGATTACCACTTCAAAATGATTTAATAATTATTTGTTAAAAATTAATATAAAAGAATAGCATAAATGTGAGGAAAAATGGACCATTGAAAATAAAGGAACTGAAGGGGAAAAAAAGGGAGGATGGGAAAGAAGGATAGAAAGGAACAAAAAGGAAGGAAGTATAATGGGAGAACAAAAATGGGATTATGGTAAGCAGAAAAAAAAAAGGAAGGATGGGAAGGAAGGAACCAAGGAAATAAAAGAAGGAAGGATAATGGAAAAACAAAAATGAGATTATGGTAAGCAGAAAAAGCAAAAGAAAATTCTTTTTCTTAGATGATTTATATAAAAGATAAATAAATGGTTTTATTCTTGTTTAACATTTAGCACTCTGCATCATTTATAAATATTACTTCCCCTTTTACAGTATATGGAATCCCCTCAAAATATAATGTTTTATATATTAATTCTATATATATCTGAAATTGCAGTAACCTGACTCTCAATTTCAGTCAAGATTGTTTTAAGTGTTGCCATAGAAGGACATGACTACACAATCAAGAAATTCAAATTTAACTTGTATTGGCAGGACTAACATTTTACTTGGTGAAAATAGTCACCTGCAGAGTGCTAAAGGTTAAAATTTAAGAAATTAAAGAATATTAAAACAATGGAATAATTATTATCTCTTAAATATTGAAATAATAAAGAAAGAGAATACTTACAGAGTAAGAGTTTAAATAATGAAAAATAATATAAAAATGTCTTTAAAGAACATTGATTGTTAATTACAAAAACTGATAACAAACAAAAGGATAGTCATTTTATATAAATAAAGACAATTTTGGAAAAATTTACCTTGATATGTTTCACTGATGATCTGGAGTCATCAGAAAAAAGTCTTATTAAACATGATCAAAATGTGTCTAAAACAGGGCTGCACAGTTAAAAGAATGTGAAAGGCCGCATTGATCGCAGAAAATTAGTCATGGGCAGCAAGGGTAAATTTTTACTGTAAGGTGATGATTATGAGTGAGATAGAAAAAAAAAAACTTTATATATGATATAAATATAGCTTTAAGATATGCTTTATTTATGGATTAAAGTGCTCAATATCAGGGATAGAGCATATGTAAATTAAAGGCTATAAATTCCTATATTTTACTGGCAATAAGTGAACCACAAACAAGTAAGAGTCACCTACAAATATATCTTACTAAATTCAGTACAGTGTAAGCCGGATATAAGAGAGTTGTTGGGACCGGAGAAGAAGTCTCTTATAGCCAGGTTTGGTCTATTTTATATACATTAACACAGGCTCTAATTTGGGACCAGAGAAAATCTCTCTTATATCCGGGTTTCTCTTATATCCGGGTTACACTGTATATACAAAAAATTTTCTTTACAATTTTATACAAATATGGCTCCAAGTTAAATAAGTGGTTTCTGGAACCTGATTGGATATGACAAGTCATGTGATATGCTCTCTACTTCATCTGCATGGTTGAACTCCAAATGACTTGGAAATAGGTCAGGGCTTGGGTTACTGAGTACATATCCATACAAAACCCAAATAGCAATTTGGAGCTGAACCACAGCGATAAAAATGGCTTGTCAGTGACCAAATCTGCAATGACTCAGTCAGTGAGAGACAGTTGGCAAAAGACAGTGAACCAGACCAGTCTTTGATCAACAACACTGACACACATACTATGACAACGCGGCAGTCAACGATGATTTTTCTACATACAATGCCACAATGAAAGTAAGTCTTGTCTCCTCTCTCTTTGTTCAGTGTGTTTTAAAGTTACTGCTATCACATGCAAGTCAGAAGTCACACATACTTCATTAGTGTGTGCTTTCTAACATGAAGAAGCCGAATACAGCAGATGTTTTTTCAGCAAAACGCATCATTTATAGTTTTTATATTTCGTTTCATTTTCTTCACTTTTGTTTTGTATACTATTATATATCCTACAAACACATACACACACACAATATATATATATATATATATATATATATATATATATATATATATATGTGTGTGTGTGTGCGCATACACAGAGTCTGTCCCAAAAATGTATACACATTTCAGGAAAGGAAAAACTTGTCTTTTGTAGTTTTATCAAATTGCAATAACAATGTTTACTGTAGCATTTTCTCAACAGATGACATTACTCTCATGGTTGTAGCATTAACAAGTCCTAAAAGATGTTGGCTATTGCAGAAAACTGACTACATTGCCAACCCTTGAAAATGAAAGTGCATGTGTAGCAATCCCACTAGACACCTTGGTCAACATTGCCCAAGCAGTAGTTCGCTGTACTAATAAATGTCTGGAAGCTAAAGGCCACCATTTTGAGCATCTCCTGTGACTGTAGAGTCACAAAAGTAATTTGTGTTAATCTTGTGATGTCTGGATAAAGTTAGTATTGCAATATCTATACAAGTTTTTCTATTTGTGAAGTCTGTATACATTTTTTTGGCAGACTGTGTGTGTGTGTGTGTGTGTGTGTATATATATATATATTTTTTTTTGTTTATACATTATTATTAGATACAATTTATTTAAGTAGATGGTCTGTTTTTTTTTATTAAACAGTATTAATTACATTTACAAACCTGAATGTCTGAGAAATTTTGGGCCAGTAAATGTAATTAATACTGTTTAATTAAAAAAACAGGGCATTTATTTAAATAAATTGTATCTAATAATAACTTATAAACAGAAAATATATTAAATAATTGCCAGATTTAATCCATTTCATTATATAATATTATTTGACAATTAGTATGAATAATTCCAAAGAGGCTATAAATCCAAAGAGAGCTCAATGTAAGAACAGAGCAAATATAATAGATCCCATGAAATAAGTTATTACCAATGGATTTCTAAAGACTCCACTTTCATTATATATATATATATTTCTTTTTTTAAAAAAATATGATTCCATCGCGACACAGAAATTACTATGTTTCAAAACTGGTCAGCAGTATTCAAGTTTAATTTCAATATTAAACCTTAACTGTTGGATGACAGTTTCATCCTCGAGCGATGTTTGGATTAACTAAGCAACAAAATGTTTTACTCATAATTTTGAAATGGAGGTGTGATCTGGGGTTTGTTTTTCATTATCAAGGGGTCTCTGCTTTGATGGAAGTAGGGGTGTTTGTTATATGTCAAGTTTTTGGAATCGTGTAAGGTTGGGTTGGGTTTTTTTTTTTTGTCTGGCTACAATGGCTAATCTTATCAAGCTCCCTGCTAAAACTCTAACGAATTGATGTTAGAGTTCCAGTCGTTTTTGGTGTTTATTTATTTGTTTTTTTGTTGATGATTTCTTAATAGAGCCTTAAGATTATGATTGGGTTGTAACTTTAGTTACAGTTTCTGGGAAAGATTGTGTTATCTAGCGTGATCAACAATTTGAACGAGGCCAGCATGCTCAAGCCCTTGGCCATGATGACTTGTGGCTTTGTGCTAGCACAGCTATTGACGGCCATCAAGAGCTCTGTCTACTCAATTTCACTCATAAGGCTTGGGTCAACCTGTGTTATGGTTTTCGGGCACTTTCCAAGGGTGCTACATGCTGGGATCAACCCCGATCCATTTTGATAACATCAGGATGTCTCTTTCTTGACAAATCGACCATGGTGAGATTCAAACCCAGGTCCCATGATCAGAAAGCAAACATTCTAACCAATTGGCCACATGCCCATACAATGTGTGCGTGTAATACACACACACACACACACACAGTGTTTATGTGATGAGATGGTGAAAAGTTCTTGGCCCAATGAACAACAAGAGTTTAAAAAATATTTATATATTTATCCAAAATTTGGGAAGTAAGTGAGTTTGGGCATTTTTCAGCACTCCCTCATCTAGAGAGGGGAGAGAGAGGGATTGAGTAGAATGAAATGAGTCATATGAGAATAACATTAATCCATTAAAATATTAGAAAAAGCTGTTAAAATGTTATTGTTAATGATTCAGAAAGGAAAGAGAAAAACACGTCTTGTCTGTCATGATAGGATTAGTTAGGAAAAAGAAAAAGAAATTGTTAATTTTAAAAAGTCACACATAGAATCTTGGGAATTTGAAATTTCTTTACCTGCATTTGCAAAGTAGGTATCTATTATATGTGCATAAGGGCACATCACCTGAAGTTAACCAAGTTTTATACATCAACTAATATGACTTTCATATGAAATTCACGGATTACTCTGGAAATGTTACTGAATTAGGCTCATAAAAGAAAAAACAAATTCTTAGTTCTGATTATCTGATGTAGAGACAAATGTTTCAGAGCTCAATGATTGATCAAACATACATTTTTGAAGAATTTCAATAGTAAATGTACTTGTTTATTAGAATCTAGAAAATAAATTTTATTCTAACCGACAAAATTCATTATATAAGAAAAATATGATCCCTGATGATGTCAAAAGATATCACTTTCATATAAATATCACATGAAAAATTTAATCTTTCTAGATTAAATTTTAAAAAGTAAAAAAATTTAATCTTTCTAGATTAAATTTTAAAAAGTAAAAAAATAAAAAATAGAATTTATTTTTTGTGATTTAATATAGGTGGATAAAAATACTGTCAATTTACCTTGAATCCGACAGGGGCAACAAGGCAATTGTTGAAGTCATCTTTCATTTCTGAAACAAGCACTTTGTCGTGTGGACGTTTAGGCCCAGAACAGCAGGAACGTACAGTGCCTAGGTCTAATTCATAATACTGAAAACAAAGAAGAAATCCATAAAAATATCTTTAATAATCAGTAAAAGTTGTTTCATGCAAAAACTTGTAATATTTCAAATCCTATTTTTATTTTTACTTTCTAATACAAAATTTTAATTTAAAATATAATTTAATTTTAAAATATAATTTTTCTAATAGATTTAAGAAAGAGTTTTAAAGTAAATTTAACTCTTGATCAAAAGTAAAAATTATTTTATATACAACTAAAAAATACAAAAACAAAAGAAACCAATTCAATCACAGCTCTATAGTTGGAGACTTTGGCATAGCACATTTTCACTAAAACTGAGAATGAAACAAAAGATTAAATTTTTCATATTTACACTATTTACATTCAGACTATTGTCTAACATTGTTCTGATACATAAAAATTTATATTATTTACACTATTTATATTTTAATTTACATTTTTATTATTATTTATTTGTTTTATTATTATTTATTATATTATTTATTATTATTTATATTATTTACACTATTTACATCAACTATTGTCCTCATCTTTGTTAATGTTGGTATCATGTTTCAGTCATTGTACCCTTGGCCTTCATCAAGTGCATATTGATCTGGGTAACCTATACAATTGTCTGAGTGTAATCAATGGAAATAATGATAATCCCGGATTCCAGAAATTCAGACATAAATTTGTCTTCTTGATCTCAATCTTTGACAATGCTATTGAACGGAACTGTATTGTCTGTTAATTTTCAAAATAAATCATAGAAATCAAAAGGGTAAAAAATCCACATCCACAACTCAGAAATACCTTCATTCATGAAGAGCCAAGTAATCCAGCTGTCGTCCAAAGTAGCTTTCTTTTATTTGGGTAAGAAAGGTTGGGATTGATCAAGACTGGTTGGGAAGCTCAAACAATTATCATATTTCAAGGCCTACTAAAGTCAAGCTGAACTTGATTCTGATTATCTACAGATAGCACAAATTCTTTTTCAAGGTAAGACTTGGTTTTCTTTGGTGCCACACATACACACACTCACACACACACTCTCTCTCTCTCTCACACACACACACACACACGTATGTGCATTTTTGGAAAGAGCAAAAAGTCAAGAACCTCTGAATAAACCGGATCTTGCGAGGCATCTGTGTAGTCCCGGAACATATGATTGGCTTTCAGATAAGCTTCTATGTATTCGATATCATGGTAACCTCGGTCTGAGAATAGGAGACAAAAAAATATTAAGAAAAAATAACAAAAGCAATAAAAGAAAAACATTTTTCAAACTCACATCAAGTCGAATGATAAGAAATTATTATCTTAAGAACATGATTAATGCTTTTATGCAAAATTTCATGAGAGAGACCAGTGAAAAATATATTCATTTTCTCTTTACATCAAATTGTTCCAGAGAAATGATTATGTAAAGAAAACAGTGAGCAGGGGAGTTTGAGTTTATGCCTTCCTTCTCTTGTGTTCCGCCTCTTCCATTGCTTTAAACTGACTGAGAATCAATGTGGTGGACCAAATTAAAAGAATGCCAGAGAGTACTCTGAAAACACATCAAATAAGTAAAAGTATTGGATTTATAAATGTAACATCTCAGTATCAATTTTTTACCAGAGCTCATATTACAATACCTCATCTCAAATATTCAAATAACTTTTTTTTTTCTTTTTTTTTTTAACACTGTTGTTCACCTAATACAAGAACCACTCAAGGATTATTGAATAATGGTTGATCTGAGACTTAAAGAAGTTAAGATTGATTGGTTTGTTTTACGGCATATCAACATCAATTGGTTATTTAATGCTGACAAGATTTTTATTGCTGGTAATTTTTTTTTTTTTTCCAAAATTGTATTGCTGGTATTAAAACCTATTTTATCTGCTTTCATAGTGATACCCCCAGATTGAGTGCTAACTATTTGCTCATGGCTGGGACCCTAACAGGTGCTACCACCCCAGGCAATTAAGAGGTGGTTCCATACTCCTCAAAACCTCCTGATCAGAGGCCTTGCTGCTGCATGTAGCTTATCATCATACCCCCAATGCAAATGTAGTTTATCGAGTTAAGAGTGTATTGTTTGGGGAAGCATTTGTTCACAAAGTGGGGGTTCTTAGGTATAATCTCTCAGAATGGAAGATACTACATAAAACAATATTTTAAGACATTTTTATATTTAACATTCTTTTTATAGATAAAAATATTTAAGTAAACGCTCTGTTTATAATAAATAGTATTAAATAACATTTACCGGCCTGAATGTCCGAGAAATCTTCATAGAAAATATTTGTCCTCTGACAGAAATCTTCTATGAAGATTTCTCGGAAATTCAGCCTGATAAATGTTATTTAATAATGTTTATTATAAACAGAGCATTTACTTAAATATTTGTATCTATAAAAAGAATGTCAAACATAAAAATGTCTTAAAATAATTGTCAGACTTTGTCCATTTCATAATAAAACAGTATCAAAGAAAAGGGTCATTTCTTTTTGGTATTCATTTTATGAAGAGTGTCAGTTTGGATTCTAAGAGGTATGAATGAAGTCACAAGAACACATGTCGCATGTTGGTTCAGCATCCCTCTGTGGGTGGTATTAGCTGGTTGCAAATCTGAACCTGGGTGTGGAATGCATATTGACACTTCAGAATTCTTGAGACTCTCTGAATTTGCACCATTTTGGACTTATATTCAAAACTCAGACAAAGGCAATCCATCACTGTCAGAATACTCCACCCATGAGGCACTCCAGTCAATTGCTGACCATTCTGGCCCTGACCTTCACAATCTGTAACACTAACAGTCAGACATTTTGATTTTTTATGCTCAACAACTAAAATTGTAAATTTGACTCTTTCTACTCTGCATACAAAATGTTACAAGATATCATAAACTGAAAATTGGGGAGAAAAAAAACAAAACAAAAAAAAAAACAGATTAAATTTTTTTTAATCTTTATACCCCAAGCATGACAATAAAGCCACTAAGATGCAAGGGGTTACTGAATGTAAAAGAAACTGAGAAAAAATTATTGAGTAGAGAGCACAATAAAAGAACAGGGTTTAAAAAGACACAAAATGATGATTGATGTTACCTTTAAATTTTTGAGGATCATGGTTAACTGAAAGCAAGAAGTCAGAAAAGTTTGACAATTTTTGAAGAAAACAAAAATTAAAGTTTCATAATACAAGAACATTTACCTGTTTGTACAAGGTAGTCAAGACTTTTTTGGTCAACTGCAAAATATCCGATTGTGGCTCCATATTCTGGACACATGTTAGCAATTGTTGCCCTGTCTGCAATGGACAATTGAGCCACTCCAGGACCATAAAATTCTACAAATTTTCCAACTACACCAATAGCTCGCAGATTCTATAAAAAGCAAAAATGGAAAATTTAGTATTGGTCATTAATGGATGGATAGAATGTTAACAGCACAAAGAATGAAATTAGCAAACAAAGATCAATCTCTGGCTGGGGCAGATTAGACTAATGACTTTATTGTAAATTCAATTCTTTGCTCAGCTAAGAGTAATGATCGATTGATTTGTTTTCTATGGCTTATCAACCAAAAAACTTGCAGTTAAAAATACTTTTTGAAAGTGGAAAAGCCACAGAAGCCTGTCAGAAAATGTAAAGTGTTAAATTACAATGAAGTCCAGCCTTTTCCAGTTGGTGGTATAAAATAAATTAGCTTTACATTTGATAAATGACATAAAAGAAAAACAGGAATTAAATTTCATTACAATAATCTGCTAAAATGCAGTTTTGGCCAGCAGTCATTAGCCTAAGTGGTGTAGCTAAGGGATGGGAGTGGTGGGTAATGAGAGTGGTCTGCCCTGGGTGACAATTTTGGGTTTGCTGTATAAGCCTATATTGAAATAAGTGATTTTAATGTTGGGACACAGCTGAAGAATCTTTTTGATTTTGAGTAATTTAAACTATAGTCTATGTATTGAAGCAATTGTTATCCTGGCCAAATAATAAACATTATCCAGTGATGTATTCACAGCTGTTTGACCATTGTTGACAATGTGAAACCTGTGAACAGACCCAGGGTGCGTCTTTTTTAATGCTGCAGCACCACTGTGTGTGGGAGACATAATTTGGTCGTTATATAAATTAGTTATTTTCTTTGACAGAAACTTGTTTGAGGGTATGTTTTTTCTATTTTTCATCTTTTGGGTCTATTAATAGTTATATATATATATATATATATATATATATATATATATATAGAGAGAGAGAGAGAGAGAGAGAGGGAGTCACTATGCAATATGTTGTATTGGGAAGGGGGGAGGATTCAAGAGCTGACTTGGGCAGCACACACTAGCTATGCTACTGATTAATATCATCCTCAATTCTATAGAACGTTTTTTTTTTGTATAAACACTTTGATAGTAAACTGTAAAATGAAACTGATCATACTTCCAGTTTTGATTCACCGATTTATTTTTTATGATTTATCAACCTCTATTTAAAGCCAGAACATATTTCATATTGTAAGAATAATTTTTGTCTTTTTGCAAGTGAATATTTCATTAACAAATTTTTTCAGAATAATGATTTTTCCAAATAAAAGTCCTACTATTTAACCCATAATTGGGGGGAGGAGATAGATTCATACCTTTCCCAAGAGTATTTGTGTGTAAGTGAACGTAACGAACTCAACTGGAATTCAAACTCAGCTCTCTGATTTCTCACTCTGAGTCGCTATCCATTATGCCACCTGCACACCCTCCTCAGTAAAGGAACTGAACCCCAATTTCTAACATTATTAGTGATGATACTTACCAGTATGTTATAAGGGCTATCTGATCTTGAGATTCAGAATTAAATCTCAGCATAGTCAATTTGTCAGGGAGTTGATGTCTTGATGTTATCAGCCTGGGAATTTCATCATAGCCTGCAGTGATACTGGAAAGTGCCTGAAAACCATACCAGGGGTTGATCCAAGCTTGTGAATGAAACTAGTTTGGTTGATTCATTTTCTACGGCTTATCAACCCCTTGCAGGTTATTTAAAGTCAGAAAATTCTTTTGGATTGTAAGAATTTTTTTTTTTTTGAGATAATAATGGTTTAGTGATACAGTTGTTACTAATTAACCCATAGCTGGGGGAGAAGAGGTAGATTCATACCTTTCCCAAGGTTATTTGAATGTAAGTAAATATAATGAACCCAACAAAAATTAGAACTCAACTCACCAATTAACAATCCCAAGCCATTATCCATTACACCACCTGCACATCCAAGCTTACAGCACCTGGAATTCCCAAGCAGTCATCCATCTTGGTACTGACCAGGCTTGAAGTTGCTTAACTTCAATGATTATTTGAGATCTGGTGTTTCAATGTGATGTTGCCTTAAGCCCTGTGAGTGAAATTGGATAGATGGAACAGTCTAAGATCTATCGATAGTTGAACCAACACTTTTATTCAGTGGGCTATGACTGATTGATTTTTTTTTTATGGCTTATCAATCCTTTCTTGGTTATTTAAAGATGACAAATATATTGGATTGTAAGAATAATTGTTTTTTTTTTTCTGAGCAAATATTTTTTTGAGAATAGTAATAATTTTTTTCAGATAGCTATACTACTATATACATATGAACTATTGTCTTCATCTTTGTTGTTACAATGTTTCGGCTATTGTGCCATCTGGCATTCATCAGATGTATATTGATTTGAGTAACCTATAGTAACTGTGAATTCAACCCCTGGGCCGGACAGTGTGTACTTGGACTCAGTGGAAATGAGTAAGCAATAACTGAGCGTACTAAAAATAAGAACTGGATGATATCCCTAGACATGGGAAGGGAAATGAGAAGTATACACCCTTAGATTAAATAAAGGGTCCAGTTTGGAATTCCCTATAGGTTACCCAGATCAATATACACTGAGAAAGCCCAGAAGGTATCAAGGCCGAAAAATTGTGATAACAACAACAAAGATGAGGACAAAATGTTGGTTCATGAATTTGGTGACATAGTAATAGTAAGTTCAATCCCTGTGCCAGGCAGTGTGTACTTGGACACATAATAACTAAGCAGTACTAAAAATAAGAACTAGATGAGATATCCCTAGATATTGGCAGTGAAAAGAGAACAGTCTACTCTAGGAGATTAAAGGTTTCAGTTCAAAATTCCCTGTAGGTTACACCAGATGAAGGCCAGGGGGCACAATTGCTGAAACATTGTGATAACAACAATAAAGATGAGGATAATTGTCCGAATGTAAATAGTGTAAATAATAAGCCCTCATTCCAGAAATTCAGACAGTACTACTATTTAATCCATAGATGGGGAGAGGAGATTATAGGCTGTGGTACTATTATAATTGTTGCAAATGAAAATTAAAGTTTCATACCTTGGTGATAGTAAGGACAACATCCGTTGAGGTAGTGTATTGGTCCATTTTGCCTCTTAACTTATAACCAACAACTTTTGGAAGGATCAAGCTGACCGACTGACCAAGCATCACAGCTTCAGCTTCAATGCCACCAACACCTGCAAAAACAAAATTAAAATGTCAATATCAGTATAAAGAAAAAAAAAAAATTATCTATACATATGAACTAACTTAGCACAAGACCAAAGAGAGGTTAATAGGATTGAAAGATGGTGTAGCACCAATCTGTGAAATATGATCTTTCATGCTAACCCTTAAAATCAGCATCTTAATATGCATACAAATATCACTTTCAGAAATTTAATTTTATCTTTTTTTTTTCATGAAACATACCCACCCCCAAAAAACATGAAAATGCAAGGTATCATTAAGAGCAAAAAAAAAAAAAAAAAAAAAAAAATGAGAAGATATTAGTGAGGAGAAAGGACAATAAAAGAACAGGGTTCAGAAAAAAAAAGAAGTTGGCGATTGACATTGCATTTAAATTTTTGAAGTTAACAGATTGGAGGTCAATTATTTACGCAATTTTCATCATTTGGATTATTGTCCTCATCTTTATTGCCATATTCATGATGATTTGGCTGTTGTTTGTTCCAGCCTTCTTCAGGTGATACATGTTTCATTTAGTCCACAGGGTAAGATTCCTACCTATATGACCTGAAGAAGACTGGAGCGTACAATGGCCAAAACATTGTGAATATAACTTCTTGCCTAAGACAGAGACCATTAAGGTATCTATGAAGACGTCAGATAAAATAAAAACATATGTTGTCATTAAAGTGACAAGGGTGGTTGCCAAAATAACATTTATGATTCCTCTGGACAAAAGGGTCAGGAAAAAACATCTATTTTGAATCAGCCACTCAGAAGAGAAATGTCCTCACAGAGATAGAAACTAACTTGATGCATTTGTTATTATAATTTCTGTGACATCTGTCAAGAAAAAATTTTTTATATCCAAACATTAATTTGGATTCCTTTGGATGCAAGTGATAAGAAAAAAATTAATTACTATTTTGAAGTGAACATGGACAAAAAGGCTGTGTGGTCTGTTGATCATAAAATGCATTGACTAAGGACAACCCAAGATTTGGAAAACCACTTGAGTAAATGTACTTTTATATATGGAAATTTAGAAAAGGTTGATGTTTAGGGTAGAAAACAACTGAACCCAGACCCTAGCCAACACCACCTCTGCCAGGCACAAGACTCCATATAAGCTGGATGTTTGGACAACTTAGAGAGGCCAATACTACTGCTACTGGAATCCAGATTATTTGCAAAGACCAAGACCTTGTGTCAGCTCTGAAAATCAGAACTTAGAAATTTAAGTTACTATTAAAACAAGCTGCATACTCTGAAGGTGATCCCAATGTCATTTGATTATAACAACAAATGGGAAGAGTTAAAACCGTTGGAGACAACAAATCATATATAACCAAATTTTTTTAATCAGAGTCAGTTCTTTATTCTAAAGGATTCTGGTTTTTAGTGTAGTTCAAGCTGTCAAACTGGCTTCACTTCAGTTTGCTTCATAAATGATCTTCTCATCCTCTGAGATCAAAGAAAACACAATGTGGCAGAGGAGTGAATGGTTGTAAACAAACACCAGTTAGGTCAAATGGAACCATACATACCATCACAATACCAGTGCTAATGAGTGGAGAGTCAGCTAAATAGTAAACATGGTGGTCTGAAGGAACTTGAGGACCGACAAGTGGAGTTACATATTTGGGTACCACTGTCTAGGGCCAACAGTGGCATTACAATGCACTCTCTCCCAGAAACTGTCCACTCAGCATAGTCATAGTATAAACCACAAGTAGGCTCTGTGGGTGTTGAACAAACAGAAATGTGCCTGAGCAGGCAGCTGTAACAGGGATTGACTAACCACTCTAGTATACAAGTGTCCTTGGATATGAGTGGCCAGCCATTATTATAAGGAAACATTTAACATTCATTGACTGAGCAGACAATGCTACTATAGTTATGTTTTTCTTCACTCCTCAACCATTAGGCTGGGCAGTGGGCACTCTGAAAAATCAATCCGGCCATCAGACTGTGATCAAAGTTTAGTATCTGTTCTCATCTCTGAAAGAAATGGTAAAATCAGCCATTTCCTTATAAGGAAACATTTGGCTTTCATTGACCTAGCAGCCAATGCTACTTTTCACTGAAACTTATAAAATTATCTTAAAATGATTTTTCAGGAACATAGGTTTCTCAGGTCTACTCTTTTTGCTCTTTCCAGTTCTGATGGGGGCTTCCTTTCTAAAATTTTGTTTGAATTAGTGTGGAATATCAGCATGTTGACTGTATCATTTTATCTTTGACACATGTGCTATCTATTTTAGTAGTTGTTGCTGTTGAAAGTCCTCAAGTGGTGTGGTTTCTGTTATTTGGTACAGTTCTTTTTGTTTGTGATTCTGTAGCACCAGTCCACAAGGTTCAAAGATGGATAATCCTTGTGAAGAACTACTGGGGAAGTAAGTGTAAAAATTTACAGTTACATAACTAATGAAGTATTAAAAAAAAAAAAAAAAAAAATCACATATCCATATATGTTTCTTTTTGCATTCTAACATTAGTGGGTGGGATAAATGAAATGAAATTTAAATAAAGCAGCGCCTGTATATTTGTGTTGCAATTTTAATCCGTTTACAAATGGTAGCACCTGGAAGAAAAGAGAGAAAAAAAAATAATAAATAGAGCTTACCCCAACCAACCACTCCAAGTCCATTGATCATAGTAGTGTGAGAGTCAGTGCCTACCACTGAATCTGGGTAGAGCAGACCATTCACATTGAAGACAACTCTGGCAATATACTCCAAGTTGATTTGGTGTACAATTCCACTCCCAGGAGGAAGGACATGCATATTCTTTAATTTATTAGCACCCCACTGTTAAAAAGAAATAAATAAAAAACAAAAGGTAAATGACAAGAAGACATTTTTGGTAACTGAATTCATTGAAGTCCAAGTTGTTAATTTCCAAATTTATGTTCAAGATTAAGGAAAAAAAATGCCCTTTGAAATTTTTTTTAAGACAAAAATTACATAAATCATTTTGAAGATGATGAGACAAAGTGGAAAATTTATTAATGACACATTTTGCCAGAGAGTGTCTGCTCTCTTTGGTTTCTCCAGGCTAGAATAAAAGACCAAACTGTGTGTGAGGAAAATGCCTTGGGATGCTTGAAGATAAGTGGGAATCATAAATCAAATTACTTTGTAGGTAACTTTATTCAATGAACTAGAATTTTGTCCTGCCACTTCAGGTGATTCTAACAACCTAATGATAACATATTTGAAATCCATGGGTCTGTCAGTAAAAATAAAAAGTTCTAGCAATTCAGGTCACCAAGAGAAGAGGATTGATTGATTTTTCTATGGCTTCTATGTGAATTATTTAAAGCTGTATTATATTTTGGATTTAAAAACAAAGTCTTTTCACCCCAAGCAAGGCCATAAAGTCACTAAGATGCAAGGGGTTACTGAATGCAAGTGAATATGAGAAAAAAAAATAATTAAGGAGAGAGAACAATAAAAGAACAGGAATTAAAGACAGAAGATAACAACTGATATTACATTTAAACTTTTGAAAATCAAAGTTGACTGGAAAGCAAGTAGCTGGAAAAGAGTTCCACAAGCAAGAAGTGCAACAGGAGAAATTGTTAGCATAAAACTTAGTTACATCTAACCATTTAAGCTTTAAAATGATGAGACCTAGCTGCAAATCTAGGACTGCGTTTAAATTTGTAAAGTTGGGGTACTAAAGAGGAAATCTCATCAAAACAATTACCATGAAAATTTTGTAATATTATAAGTCTTTTTGTGAGTGAATAGTGCAATAACAATAAATTTTTCCAGATTCTATAGCTGTGGGGAGGAGATGGATTCATACCAAGGGAAGAGAAAGTAATAGTAGTAATAATACCAGAGAGCTAAAGGTTAATATATATATATATATATATATATATATTATGCATTATGGGTTAATACTTGTTGTTTTTTTAATATAGATTTTTTTTTATTATATATATTTTATAGACGTTTTATAGTTTTTATTAGGTTTATAAGTTATATATTTTTCTTTAATAATATTACCAATTTTATATTAAATTAGATTAAGTTAGCTCCCTTCGATTATAGGATTTATAATTAATAGTTGATAATGCACCACTCTAAAATTAAGTAAAATAAAATTAATAATCCATAATTATTTTACTCTTATGTTCATATGGTAATACCAGTTATTTTAGTTGCTAGATTTAATGCCATGAAAAATATAATCAAATTTTGAAAAAAATTATATCACAATCTAAATAATGCTTAACTATGCTAGCATTATGATAAACCGATATATTTTCAAATCATATAGAAGTAACGGTCAGTATACACTTGGCACCTGAAGAATGCGTTTGACATGAAACTCCAAGTAGGGCAAATGGTGTGGGATTATATATATATATATATATATATATATATATATATATACACATACTGCGAAATGGAAAAGTCCAACAATTATTTAAATATATTTTATTGTTATGTCATTTATATAGACTTAAATATTTGTGTCCATATAAATAACATGACAATAAAATATATTAAAATATATATATATATATATATATAAATTCTGTAACTTCCATTTGTCTGTCGCACCCTCTAAAATAGCCATACATTGACCAATCAAATCCAAATTTGGGGGAGAATTGCAAGCAGGTGCAAAGTACTGTTGGTCTCACTTGGGTATGTAGCTTACTACAATACATTTTCATTAATTTTTAGAGGAAAGATTAAAAGTTTTATTATTTAATATACAAAAACTATTTTAAAAACGATTTAATGATTAAAATAAAAAATACTTATTTAATAAAAATGCAATATTGTTTTTTGCATATCTTTTCTTTAACTTTTTATATATATGAGAATCCAGTTTCCAGATTGCCCTGCATTTACGAGATCTATAAACAACTCACAAGGTTATATGTTTCAAAGTGTTGGAATTTGGCTCTAGAAAGAAATATTTACGTATGGCCAGTTGAATGTTGCATGCTCAAGAGTAAGAAATTGTAAGAATCTATTCTTCACTGTTAAAAAAGAAAAAAAGATTTTCTTAAAGAATATTGTTTACCATGAAGTCTTATGAAATTAAATTAAAGAAATTATTAAACCGTGAAGTAGGGTTTTTGTTAAATTATTTTTTCAAACAAAGCAGCTTCTTCAAATTTTATTTATTGGTTTGCAAAATTGAATGAAACAGTTTGTAAATCTTGACAAAAAAATGTTAGTGATAACTTGAACAATACTAAATACTGTGAGGATTTTAATATATTCCAAAGGTTGTCATAGTCAAAAAACACTTCCAAATAAAAAAAAGAGACATTAAGAGTCCTGGTACGAAATGAATAAACCATTATTTTGGGATTGTAAGGTTTTTACCTTTAGAAAACGGAATCTCTCCTCATTTCTATCAAATTCTTTTTCTTCGTTAAGTTTGACTGCATCAGCACTGAAATACAAAGAAAAATAAGAGATTACTTTATCAGCTTTGACACCAAGAAAACAACACAAATATTAATTTAAAAAATTTCTTTTTACACACATGTGCAAACATAGTTATTTTGTTTGTGGCATTCTTAAAACTAAGCAGAAATATATAAGATGGTTATAGGACAACTGCTCCTTGGACAATTGTTTCCATTGGACAATTGTCCTCGGTCAATTGGAGGGGCAAATTCTTTAAGTTTTGCTTTTACTTCAATAACAAAGATGAATTTCTAAAAGCCATCTTGAAATTCATGGTATTATCCTAAGATGAAGTGTTATCAAGATTCAACTGTCAGAATAGCAAATATCGTACAAGACTTTGAAAATTGCCATGTGTTAGATTATTTTAGAACTCATCATTTTCACCCTTTAGTTGTATAATTAGAGTGATATAAAAATATAAATTTTCCTATTAGATAATTCTTTTTATGCATTTATTATTGGATAATTTCTCTTACTGGATAATAGATAATACATGAAAATAAAACCCTAATTATTTTTATTATTATTTATCCCTCCCCTCTCATTCCTAAAGTTGTGCTTTCTCTCAATTGTTTGGGGGGCAGTTCTCCAGATACCATATGACATAAGTAGATTAGGTTTCAAATCCTGATTTGCATAGGACATGCCTATTTAGATTCATTTATAATCAAAAGCAAATTAATACATGATTTTTTTTTTTGAATTCAGTCAAATCCAAGAGGAAATTCCAGCAAAAATTGTCCAACATTTATTTCGAAAGAAATATGATCTAAACTTTTTGGCTTTTTTAAGTCATCAGGGTAGGTAGAGACAAATGGTAAGTTTTGTAGTACTGGTGAGTGTTCAGACATAGGCAAGGTGTAACATGTTTGTGCTATATATATATATATATATATATATATATATATATATATATATATAGTAAAGGTAATGAATCCAAGTGGATTCCAGTAATATAAAATATTAAAATTGATACACAAAAAGAGCTCCCACTCGCTCTCTCTATATATATATACAGTAAACACTGAAGTCAACACTCAGAGGCGACAGACTGTTTCATGCTAGATGAAATTGTCAGGCCTGACGATTGCATCTAGAATGAATTTTTGCTTCAATGTTCACTTTTATATTTACATATACTCTATCTCTGATATTGAGCACTTTATCCCATAAATATAGCATATCTTAAAACTATATTTCTTCATATATATATATATATATATATATATATATATATATATATATATATATTGAGATATGTTTCATTGAATAATTTAGACAAGTATTGTCTACTTATTTTCAATTGGATCCTTTCATATTCATGGACAAGCTTTTTGATGTCATTATTAAAGGAAGAGAGAAAATTGCCATGTTGACACATGTTATTTTATTCCAAGTACTTTCAACATAGCACAATGTCATCATCAGGGTGTTTATTTTTAGACAAATATTGTAGTTTTCATCAAAATTGCTGTATTCATCTGAAAGTTAAATTTTTACTTCTAAAGTGAAGAATGCTGAATGAGAATGTGATCGCTGGACACTGCTTCAGGGGAGGTAACTAAGTATGGTGTGTTGAGAGTTGTTAAGAAATACGTATTAAAACTATTAGTGCAAACTATCTATTGTACACATCTTAAAACATTTGTGCAGAATTCATAATTAATTTTATTAAGGTTTGTTTTCAATTTTTTAATATAGATAGCTTCAAGAATTTTTAGTTTATTATTTTCATGAAAAAATATGGAACTAAAAAATATAAGTCTTATTAACATTAACTTTCCTAATTATATTGTTGATGAATATGTTCATAATGAGGACAACATTCTGAATAATGAAAATAGAGAAATGAGTGTGTGTGTGTATATATATAAAGGATGTTGAAAAGTTCAATTCTTGAAATCTGATCAAATATCAAAATGTCTTTTGAAATAACTTTCTTTGTCAGGCTGAAAACTTTTCAGCACTGTTTGCCTTTTGGATCTGTGTTAAAAAACCACTAATTGAACATTTAAATCAAATGTAAGATCTCTGCTTCTACTTCTTTCTTTGAGAACTGAAAAAGGTTTTTTTTTTTTAATATTTTATTTAAATTATTTGAACTCAGTTTTGCACAAGGTAATAAGAGTTGTATTAAAATATCAGATACCCAAAGATCAACCAATTAAAATTTATCTTCTTACAAACAGGCCAATTCTCTTTTAGTAAAAATTATTAGAATGATTTTGATTTGACAATTTTTTTTTCTTTTAAAGAACCCAAAATTACATGTTTAACTGTAACAAAGATTGCTTATTTCAAATATATTTCTTTTTTAAAAGAGAAAGATGCAAGAAAAACAGAGCAAATAACAAAACATAATAAAAATTCAACATTTTGCCAACAAAAATCAAGAACTTAGATTAAAAAAAAAAACAATGGAATATAAATGAAAGAATTTTCACAGAATGATGACAGTTCATAAAATATGTACTTTCAAATGTAGAGCAGGAAAGTTGCTTTCTTTTTTTTTTGTACTTTAATTAAAGAGTTCTAAATCTGTAGAAAACATGGATGGCTTTTATGAAGGGTGTTAAACAAAAATGTTTTTATTATTAAAAGAATGGTATAAGCATACTACAATGTATCTTGGGCAGAACGCGAAAACAATTTTTAAAAATCTAAAATGACAATCTAAAATCAATTAAATTGATTAAATGACAATAATTATAATATTTACTCAGCTTAAAAGAGTATGGCTTTGAGTAATGGCAGCCAATGAGAATGGATTTCAAGGATTAACTTGCTAACTACTGCTCCACAGTGAGGCATCCAAATGATATTTAGTTTGATATTATTTTATTAAAACATTAAAAGATAAATTTAAAGAAAAATTTGTTTTTTATATTTAAATTAGACAATAGGCACACTAACCAATCAACACAAATGGATCAATGTTTACATAACAAAGCTTGATTACTTGCCCTTATTTGCCACCAATTCTCAGGGTAATCTTGAATTTTTTGGGAACATAAATATTATTTACACTATGTACATTTGGACTTTTGTCCTCATCTTTGTTGTTGTTATTACTATGTTTCGGTCACTGTGCCCTCTGACCTTCATCAGGTGTATATAGATCTGGGTAACCTACAGGGAATTCTGAAAAGAACCCATTAGTATATGGAGCTACACAGTTCTTATTCCATTGCTCATATTTAGGGATATCTTGTCCAGTTCTTATTTTTAGTACTGATCAGTTATTGCTTGCCAGTTTCCAGATTTCAAGTACACATTGCTTGGCCAGGGGATTGAATTCACAACTACTGTCATCAAATTTATGAACCACTGCTTTAATCCACTAGGTTTTTTCTGTAGGACTACCCAGACCAATATATACCTGATGAAGTATGGAGGGCATAATGGCTGAAATGCCGTGACAGCAACAATAAAAGAATTTATTTTTCACATATTAAGTGAAAAATCCAAATTCTAACACTATAAGAATTTGAATTTATTGAGAACCATTTTCAAAACAATAATTAAGTGGAAACTGAGCATTGAAAACTGGAATTAAATAGAGGAAGATGAGGGTAAAGAATGAGAAAAAAATGTGAATGATGCTGAGGGCAGCCATTTTAAATCAAAGAAACAATAAGCAAGTACAAGATTCTTAAAAAAGGTAAGACAAAAATAAAGGCCAAGTAAAAAAGTAAAAAAAGAATAATAAAGGAAAATAAAAAATAAAAAAAGACTGGTGAAGAAAGAAAAGAATGAGAAGTTGAAGTGAAAAAAAGAAAAGGGTGAAAGAATGAGAGAGAAAGAAAAGGGCGAGAGAGAGAAAGAAAAGGGCGAGAGAGAGAGAGAGAGAAAGAAAGGGCGAGAGAGAGAGAGAGAGAGAGAGAGAAAGAAAAGGGCGAGAGAGAGAGAAAAGAAAAGGGTGAGAGAGAGAGAGAAAAGGAAAGGGTGAGAGAGAGAGAGAAAAGGAAAGGGTGAGAGAGAGAGAGAAAAGGAAAGGGTGAGAGAGAGAGAGAAAAGGAAAGGGCGAAACAGAAAGAGAGAAGAAAAGGTGAAACAGAGAGAGAGAAACAAAAAGAAACAAGTACATAAGTGAATGATGTATTGAACAATAATATGGCTATTTTTCAGTATGCCCATGTTGCTACCAAATGTGACACAAGGTCAAGGTTTAGAGTGGGTTTACTGGCAATACTGTGGAAAAATTGCCCAAGCCCCCTCAGCACTTCCCATTTTTATGAACCCCTCAGGTGCAGGGCACTAAAACCAGCCACCCTCCTGAAGGAGAGCTACTGCTTCTGAGGAATTTAATATTTTTGAAACTTTCCCAGCATTTGCTAGAGAAATGGAAACTCAAACTAAACTCAGAATTAATGAAGAAAAAAATTATCAAACCTTAATATGCTGTAAAAGAGAAAATAAGCATGCTACAAAAAGTTACTGACACCTTTACTACCAGCTGGTCTTGCTATCGGCTGCTATCAGTGAGGAAGCAAAAGTTCATAAGACTGCATGCACATACAGACAAACAAACGCAATATATATAATATATAGATAATTTGAGGATCACAATTCTGGGGCATCAGCATCAACATAAACCAATTAAACAATTTTGAAATAAAAAAGTTTTAAAGAATAGAAAAACAACATTGTTTGAAGTGCATTGCATACAATCTAATTTGTTGTACTGGAGTTTACATGTTCATTTTAAAAATGGACTGTCCATAAATCACATATTACTTTTTTTAATTTTTTTTTCGTTTTAAATTTGAAAGGAAAACAAATTCAGAATTAAAATACTTTTTTTATTATTATTAAAAGGTGTTGGTTTCAATCCATGAGAATGACTACAACCCCCTCATCAAATTTACATTCATGTTGGAATTACTTTCTAAGCAATAAAAATAGATGACTTCCATATTTTTGTTCTTTCTTGTCTTGAAGTCAGAATGCTATAATCACTTGACTGTATCCCTTTTGTGTGTTAACACCATTTTTACTTTGCAAAGTTTTGCATATATATTGTTTGCTTAATAGTTTTGCATATATATTGTTTGCTTAATAGTTTTGCATATATATTGTTTGCTTAATAGTTTTGCATATATATTGTTTGCTTAATAGTTTTGCATATATATTGTTTGCTTAATAGTTTTGCATATATATTGTTTGCTTAATAGTTTTGCATATATATTGTTTGCTTAATAGTTTTGCATATATATTGTTTGCTTAGTATTATTTCATCCTGTTCTTCCTTTTCTTATTGTTTATTGTGAACTTTGTCAATTCTGTTTGTTGAGTATTTTTGCCAATTAGGCTTAACCATGGTCAATTACTCCACAAAAAGAAATATCCTCTGAGCCACAAAAATGCTACACCTGTAGAGAATGATAAAGAAAGGAAATAATCTAACACTGATTAACATCCATGAAGATTATATAAACTTACTAAGAGATGAATAAACATTGAAATTTTAACAAAATCAGTGATACTTAATTGACATGATCACCTGAAAATTGGGGTTTATACATTAAGTCAAATCAATTTAGATAAATTTACAATATTTTTCTTACCTGAGACTAAGAGTATTTATATCTAATGACCCAGGCAAAAACTACAAGAAACTGATGTTTAAATGCAAAGATCCTTTTTCTTTATATGAATTCACAAACAGGTATTAGATCAAAAGGCAGATTCTTAAACAACTTTCAGTTTAGAACTATGCTCTAATCATTGATCTATAGACAAGTGTGTAAAAGGTAATATCGTGTAGATAGAACATAAGGCATTAACAAAAATGCTGATATTTCCTTCAAGAAACCTTAAAATTCTTTCAATGATCTGGATTTGTTCTGGGGCACAAGTTGTTGACTGAATAATTTCCTTGTAATCCATATTGAATTGCTATGTGATATCAATCCTCTTGTATGGAAGTGAATACTGGACAATCTCACCACAGAAACTGGAGGCAAGAGAAATGTAGGATACTGAGAAATTAATGGACAAGGTGAGTAAGCAACAAAAAAAGTCCTAAAGAAAATGGTAACAAAAAGAACACTTAGAATCAGAAAAAAATAGCTGAAATTTCTTTAATACATTAGGAGGGGGGAAGGCTTGGGAAACCTAGCACTCATGGGGCATATCAAGAGCAAGAGAGATAGAAGAATGTAGTGGGTCACTTGCTTGACAAACTTGTATGAATGGATGGCAGAACAGAGGGTGGGAGGCTTGCTGAAGGGAGAAACCCTGCTAGAATGTTGTAGAGATCCATGATCACTCATATCCTGAAGAGACATGGTCTATAGAAGAAGAATCTATATTGTATATGGTAGTTATGTTTGGCTAGGTTGGATTTCTTAAATACCTGGCAACAACCATAACAAAAATTTAAAACTCAGTAAGGGGAGATAATTCTCAGTCACAACTATTTCAGGTCTTCCTATAGTTTAGTTTTAATAAAGACAAATTTTGTTTTTGGCTTTTTTTTTTTTTTTTTGTGAGATGGATTTCCTTTATATGCTGAGATTTCAAATATTACAAAGAGACTAATCTACTATGGTGGAGGTAATTGTCAAGTAACAGTAATTCTGTAAGGGTTTGCCAGAAATATGAAGATCATCTAGTGAATCACAAGGGACAATTGAAATAAAACCTGAGTAGTAGAAACATAAAAATAAAAACAAGCTTAGAATGCAGGGTCTGAATTGCAGTGAGATTTTTTTATACAATCATTTTTTTTCAGATTTCAGTGGAGCATACCAATGAGCAGACCAAAACTATTAAGACTAGCAAAATTGGTAATAATGGGATTATGTTAATATAAAAGTAATTATTAACAAATAATTTAAAAAAGGAAACTAAATTCAAAAGACTTAAAGAGAAAACATAAAATCAATAAATATTTGATGTATCATAATTATATTATGATTAGCTGAAGTCATGACGTGAATAAAACGTTTCCTTATAAATCATTACAGAATGCTCTTCAGAATCACTTTTGTCTGATATATCAGTGGGAGTAAAACAATTGAACATGATTGGAAAAAGGTTATGGCTAATGAGAATTTGGCTGATAAAAAACTCATTTTCTTAAAAATTCAAATATTAACTGCAACAAATGGATCAATAACTCATGAGTACAAATAAGGAGTTTAACATTCTAACCAAGAAAAAAAAAATGATTATTAGTGGCTATTATTGATGAAAGCTAAAGAAGCAGATTAGCAGAAGAAAAAAAAAAGGTAATCCTTCATATAAGCAGCATGAAATAATTTGTCTTGTTTCATTTTAGCCATGTGGCCCAAGTGGCCCACACTCAATTGTCAATCCAAATGAATTATTATTATGAGAAAATATTTTACAAGCAGATTGGTACTTATTAGAGCTCAGCAATCATCTTAGGGAACTGCATTGATTAGTACAGTGGTCCCCAAACTTTTTTTTTCTTTGGGCCACATTTTCAGAATATAAAATTTGCTTGCACCTTACCAAAGTCCTGGTGAAAAGGTGCAAGTAGCCCTACAACAAAGAAGGTCCAGAATGATGGTTAAAGAGAGATAACCACAGATTCAAAGTCAGAACATTATCACTGATAACTCTCTCCTTCAATTTGTGGACCTTAATTGCTATATTCTTAATACTTGACATAATGCAAAAATATCACAATGATAAAATCGGTCAATAATTATTTGCAACTATTTATACTGGGATTCATGCATTGCAATTACAAGTAATCCATAATAATATGTGAAATTTTGAAATCATATTTAGTTTTGGCATATGAATTTTTTAAAACTGTTTCTAAAGCTTTGATTGTCTTTCAATCATTCCACCTCACATATGAAGTGCGCTGCACCATTTGGGGAACCACTGATTATCACAACAATGGCTCACTTGAGAAAACTGACATTGCAACTCTGGCCATTTGGATTAAATGCCTATCAAAATGCAACAGATGGTTATCACTGATACTGAAAATCATGTAAACATCAAAATGTCTTCAGCATTTTTATTTGCAGCATTGTCCACCATTACCTGTTGTAATAATGTTTAATTGTAATAAATGTATATACTTTGGTTTTATTGATTTTACACCATTCAGGGAATAGCAGTTTATTTTACACTGCTTAAGTGAAAAATTACCAAAATTATTTTGTCAGAAAATTTTTATAAAGGTTAGAAATTCATTTTAAAGAGGATTTTATAACTTTGGCATCAGTTAGAGAATGGAATAATGACATCAGCAATGTATGTGGGACAAAGTCATAACATTTGTGAGTGATGATCTAACAATATAACAGGCTATTAATTGATTTGTTAGGCCTTTGATTTTAAATAGTAAAGAATGAATTAAAAGAAAATGTTTCTGATTTAATAAGCAGAAAAGACAAAAAGATAAAGCAGATAATGAAAGAAAAAAAGCATTTGAATAATATTGTTCCAACTTGTTTCAAATTATATATATATATATATATATATATATAAAAGAGAGAGAGAGAGAGATTGATAGATAGATAGAAAGTGAACATTGAGGTCTTCAGGATAGCCTAAAGATTGCATTAAGCAAAAGTTTTGATCTGACGAGAGAGCAATATAGTTTTAATAACATTTATCTATCTGCTCCCCCGTCAGTGTGTGCTATGGCTCTGAGTAATTACATGGTTTTATTACATTTGCAACTTAGGTATCTGATATGGGAAATAAAGGTGAGTTTATGGTTGAAAATAATTACTATGTATTTATATTTATCTACAAATGACCAAGTGGCTGATCACAACATGCCCTATCAACAAAAGTTAATCCCAACTATATTATTCAACTTGCTCTTTCTTCAATCAGACATCCATCTTTGCTGTAACTTTTAAACACTAGAAGGCAGTGGCTGAGGGTCAATTGTGCAAAGGAAACCAAATGCTTCATATTACCAAATATAAGTTCTTGGGTATTAAATCTGAAACAAATTTATAATCTAGAAACAGGTTAGGGTCAGATATTGTTAAGTCTATTGTAGAATGTGTGACTATTGCTGGATGCAGATATGTGTTTGATTTGTTGTTGTTGTTGTACAAGCACAGCTGATACTTATTCAGTATT